TCCACACTCATGGGAGAGTCCGCTTTTCCTTTTCCCTCTCCCTCTGCTCCCGTTCTCTCAAATAAATAAAATAAAAAAAAAAAAAAGGAAAAAAATATTGTCGGCAATAGGAGGAAAACTGATATCAACTCAATCACTTAAGGCCTAGATCAGAAGCCTAGTCTTTAGGAGCTGAGTATCTGTCAATCTTCATTAGGCCTTAACTATAAACACTTTCCAATATGTGGAAGACTAGAAGCTTCTCAGAAGTTACTGAGGTAGTGTTAGCAAAATGCTAGGAATACACTTTAATAAAACTGTTCCAGATATCTACTATGGTATTTTCTTTAATGAGATGAAGATATTTATATCATACTTGAAGGATTATAATGTTGGGGATGATGAGGATTAGGAGAGGAAAAAAAATAAAGTTTGGGACTCAACCTTCTCAGTCTGAAGCCATCACAAACGTGGTATTAAAGATTCCTCCCAACAAGCTGTTCCATTTTCTTCATAATCTCAAAAGGGAAGAAACTGTTAGCTTCATATTGTTTATAGTCATTTTTGAAAACGCAATTTTAACAAGGGCATATTTTCTTCTCTTGAGAATTTTCTTTCAATGATTAAAAAAAATTTTGAAGCCGTCCTCACAAAACTCAAATTAAAAAAAAAAAATGCAAGAAATACCCCCACATCAGACTCCCTGCTGAGTGGGAAGCCTGCTTCTCCCTCTCCTCTCCTTGCTCGTGTTCCCTGTCAGATAAATAAATAAAATCTTTAAAAAAAAATGCAAGAATGCAACTTAATTTGATTTAAAACATATTAACAAAAAACAACACATATAAAAGTAAACAAGTCTTCATAAATAAAGCCATTTTATACCAGTAGTCCAAAAAATAATCCCAACATTAAGACTTTAGTTTGAGAATAAACTACTTAAGAGCTTTATTGAAGTATAAGTGACAAATAAAAAACTGTATATATTAAAGATACACAATTTGATGTTATGACATATACACATACACACCCCTATGAGACCATCACCATAATTAAGGTAGTAAATATATTTATCACAAAAATAATACCTCTTTTATTCCTAATATTGGCGGTTTTTTCCCTGATCAGTCTAGCTAGAGGTTTATCAATTTTATTGATCTCAATAAATAAACTTTCATTGACTTTTCTCTATTATTTTTGTTTTCTAGTTTATTGATTTCTGCTCTGATCTTTAGTATTTCTTTTCCTCTACTTAGTTTGGGTTTAAGTTGCTTTTCTGTTTCTCATTCCTAAATTAAAAGCTGAGGGCATTGATTTGAGACCTTTCTTCTTTTGAAATATAGGCACTCAGTGAGATAATTTTGTTCTAAATCTGCTTTAGTAGATTTAGATATAGCAGCATTCCCTATATTCTGATACACTGTGTCTTCATTTTGATTCTCTTCGAAATAGTTTCTAATTTCCCTTTTGATCTTTTCATTGACCCATGGTTTATTTAGAAGTGCATTATTTAGTCTCCCAACTATCTACGGGTTTCCCAGAGATCTGTTATTTCTCAGTTAATTCTATTGTGGAAGAGAATATATCAGGTATGACTGGAATCCATTTACACTGAGAACTGGTTCTGTGGCCTAGGATATAGTCAATATTGGTAAATTTTGTATGTTTACATAAAAAGAATGTATATTCTACAGTTGTTGGTTAGTTTTTTATAAATGTCAATCTAATCAAGTTGGTTCAGGGTATTGTCCAAATCTTCAATATCCTTTCTGATTTTCTATATATTTATTCTACCACTTATTGAGTGGGGCTTTTTTTCCCCCCAACATAGGGCTTGAACTCACGACCCTGAGATCAAGACCTGAGCTAAGATCAAGAGTCAGACACTTAACCAACTGAGTCACCCAGGTGCCCAGAGAGAGGGTATTGATATCTCTAATTATAGATTTTTCTGTTTCTCCCTGCAAATATTTTTGATTTACACATTTTGAAACTATGAGTGGGTGCTTTGTTTACATTTTGTGCTCCTACTGATCTGACCCATTTATCATTATGAGATGAACTTTATATTCCTGGTTATATTCTTTGCTCAGAAATCTGTTTTATTTGTTCTTAATATAGCCACTCTAGCTTTTTGTTTTCAATTGGTTTACATTATCCTGCCCTATCTTTTTTTTTTTTTTTAATTTGTGGTAAGACTACTTAACAGATTTACTCTCTTAATAAATTTTAAGTGCAAGATACAGTGTTTTTAACCATAGGCATGATATTGTAGAACACATCATTACAACTTACTCATTTAGCATGACTGGATTAAACATTCTCCATTTCCCCCTCCACCCAACCTCTGGCAACCACAGTTCTACTCACCGCTTCTATGATTTTAACAATTTTAGATAACTTATGTAAGTAGAACTGCATGTATCATTTGTCTTTCTTTGATTGACTTATTTTACTTAGCATAATATCCTTAGAGTTCACCCATGTTGTTGCATATGGCAGGATTTCCTTCTTTTTTTTAAGGCCAAGTAATATTTCCTACATTTTCTTTATCCATTCATTTGTCTTGGGCATTTGTTTATACACCTTGGCTACTGTGAAAAATGTTGCAATGAATATGGAAGTGCAAGTATCTCTTTGTGATTCTCATTTCAATTCTTTTGGATAAATACTCAGGAGTGGAATTCCTGAATCATATGGTAATTCTCTTTTAAATTTTTTGAGAAACCCCTATACTATTTCCATAGTGGCTGCTCTATTTTACATTCTCACCAGCAATGTACATGGGTTCCAATGCTTCCATATCCTTGCCAACACTTTTCTCTCTCTCTCTTTTTTTCTTTTTCTGATAATAGCCATCCTAACAGGGTGAAGTGATAGATCTGTGTGATTTTGATGTGCAATTCCCTGACAACTAGTGCCTCTGAGCATCTTTTCCTATCTGTTTGACACTTGTATGTTTTCTTTGGAGAAGTAGCTATTCAAATTCTTTGACCATTTTGCAACAGGTTTTTTTTTTTTTTTTCTATTGAGTTGCAGTTCCTTATACATCTTAGAAATTAACCCCTTTGATATACAGTTTGCAATTATTTTTTTGAACTCTGCAGGTTCTTTTCACTCTGTTGTTAGTTTGTTATGCAGAAAAAACCACAAAGTCCCACTTGTCCGGTTTTGGTTTTGTTGACTTTTAGTATCATAACCAAGAAATCATTGCCAAGACCAATATCATGAAGTTTTCCTGTATTTTCTTCCAGTTGTTTTATAGTTTAAGGTCTTTGAGATTATTTTTTTGTGTGTGTGGTTTGTTTTGCATTTAGATATCCAGTTTTCCCAACACTATTTGTTGAAGAGACTTTCTGATCCCTACTTATATTCTTGGCACTCTCAACTAGTTTCTGGATTGCTCACAAAGGGAATTTGTCTCTGCATTATCACTGATTCAGTATGTTTATGGGGGAGAGGAGGGTCCAAGGTTTCTATTCTGCCATCTTGCTGATGTCATGTCTCAGCACGGTATATCTTTTAACACTCAAAGTTTTATGGGGCACCTGGGTGGCTCAGTCAGTTAACCATCTGCCTTAAACTCAGATTATGATCCCAGGGTCCTGGGATCGAGTCCCATGTTGGGATCCCTGCTCAATAGGGAGTCTGCTTCTCCCTTTCCCTTCGCCGCTGCTCTCTCTTGCTTACTCTCTCAAATAAATAAAGTCTAAAAAAAAAAAGTTTTAGTTTTCACCTATTTTTGTCTTTATATTTGAAGTGCATTTTTTCTAATTTCTAATTTCTAATTTTTAAATTTCTAGTTTCTATATCATATGATCTCCCTGATATGAGGAAGTGGAGATGCAAGGGGGAGTGCGGTTAGTGGGGGTAGGAAAAGAATACATGAAAAAAGATGGGATTGGGAGGGAGACAAACCAAAAGAGACTCTTAATGTCACAAAACAAACTGAGGGTTGCTGGGGGGAGGGGTGTAGGGAGAGGGTGGTGGGGTTATGGACATTGGGGAGGGTATGTGCTATGGTGAGTGCTGTGAAGTGTGTAAACCTGGCGATTCACAGACCTGTACTCCTGGGGCTAATAATATATGTTTATAAAAAAATTTAAAAATTAAAAAAAAATTTCTAGTTTCTACATTTCTTCTGAACTTGTGGCTTATAGTAGCATACCAACTTTGTAAATCAGTTATTTTAGATGAAGAATCACCATTTTCTAAATGATATACTACCATGTGTGATTCTGGGGACAAGGTAGGGAGGGCAGAGCAAAGAAAAGAAATATACCTTAAATAAAACCATTAATGTAATTTTATATAATACAAGTTGAATAATGCGTAAATGACTAATGTGTGGTTTTATTTCCTATTACACAAATATTAATCAAGCAGCCAGTTGTCAGAAGCCAAACACTCTAAGACAAATTCTCTTGAGGATAGTTTCTTAGATTTTTAGTGTACCTAAGAATTGACTGCACATTTTATTAAAAATGCAGATTTTCAGGTGAAACTCTAGATTTTAATTTAGGAGGAATCTGCAAATTACTGACCAACTCAGTGACCCTGATAAGAGACAAAGAGATTACTGTGGAGTTCAGCATAACCTTTTTTCTTATTTTAACTGGATAAATGGATGATGGGTATGACAGAATGAGCCTTATTAGACAATCCAAGTAGAGGCAGGAACAAACCAAGGTGTTTTAGCCTAGCTTAAGAGGTTCAGATTAGAAAAGGCCTCCGGTATCAAGCTAAAAACCTATGATTAGAATCTGGAAACCATCTAAGGTTTCAGAGTAGGGGAATAATAATCTGAAAAATTTTTAAAGGAATGTTGATTGGATGGGATGAGTTGTAAGTTGGAAAGCCTGTGAGAAGGTGTAGAATAAGGTGATAAAGGTAAGCATCGAGGAGGAGGTACAGACAATACAAAATAAAATATCAGAAGTCATGCTGGTAAAAAATATTGAACTTCCCTTCACATACTTAAAAATAGGAAGTTAATATTAAATACATTAAAAACATTCATTAAAAACATTAAAAACATTCATTAAAAACATAGTAACAGCAACAATAGCAATAACAATAATAAAAATAGTAAGAATAAAATAATTTTTAACAGGTCTTTCCGATGTTTACTTGCATCATTCTTAAAAGTCCATAGGAGCTCAAGAGCAGTTTGTATTGCCTGGAAGAATCATCAGAAAGAGGTATTAGTCTTCTAAGTTAAAACTAATCCATCAGTCATTATAAACTAAAAACAGGCATTTCTTATCTTCTGTAAAGTAGGTGAAGCAATGTTTGCATTCTATAGCATAATTATATTTCTATTTGAAAAAATTTTTTAAAGTTTTATTTATTTAAGTAATCTCTATACCTAATGTGGGGCTCGAACTCATGACCTGAGATCAAGAGTTGCATTCTCCTCCAACTGAGCCAGCCAGGTGTCCCACATAATTACATTTCTTCATTCACTATTTCAACCAATGTTGATTTATTGTCAAAGATAAAAAGATTCATAGTCAAAAAAGAAAACTTTACTTCTCCACACCTACAAATTCAACATTTAGGTTAAAATTTTGAGGGTATGAAAGAGGGAACAATTCTGGGGGTAGGTGGGGTTGGTGGGTAGATAGAAGCAAAAAAGTCAGACAAGGCTTCAAGGAAGATGGGAACTAAACTGGGCTTAAAGGTGGGACCTAGACATGTGGTAAATTGAGAGTAAAAAAGGAGGAAAGAAAAGGCATTTACACAAAAATCTTAGTATGGATTTAGTACTTCAGAAATTGTCAACAAATTCTCACAGTTCATAAAAAAAGATAACTTGGGAAATGCTGTCAAAGCAAATCCAAAGGAAGAGGTCACTTACACATTTATTCATTTCTTACCTTCTTTCAATGGTGTTTTGAGAGGAAAATTTTCTTTGCTTTCATGAAGAAAAGCCTTTGAAGGATCAAAATGTTTGATACCAAGAACTTTATTCAATTCCTCCTGAAGTTTTGTCTCATTTTGTTTTCTTTTAGCAAGCTGAGAGCGGAGTTTTGACACCTCCTATGTAAGAAAAATATAGACAGTAAATAATTAAAGTTCATGTTGCTGAAATGTGTTATCCACTTTACTGACGAATTCCAAAGTTGTTCTTTTACCAAATTAAAAGGCAAAAATCACTACTAGATACAGGCTTTAAGAATACAAATTAAAAATGACTCTGAAGGGCTGTGACAAAATGGGACATTTAAATCTGCTTGCCACTCTACAGTGACAAAGCTATGCTTCTGATAAAAGTTCATCTCCAAATTAAATGCAGAGATCAACCACTGGAACGACAGCTCCACTAACCTGCTTCCCAGTGAAACCACGAGAGGCAAGCTGAGAGAACCACAGGCTGTTCCCCTTTCCCCTCTCCCCCAAGTCCACCAAGCACTCAGTTCCTATGCCAGATGTGTCACTCAGAGAAAAGCCGGTCATTTTCTCCAACTTCAGCTCCAGAACCCTGTCTCAGAGATTTTTTCTGGGGGCTGGGGCTGAGGTGGGGGGGAGAAAGTAGGCTATAAAACACATAGCTCCTAATTTCTTGCCAAAGGGGCTGATTTTACTTGGAATAGAACTGAGAGAAGTTCAAGCTGAAGGGTGCTGTGAATAATCATAGAGCTGGTGGTGAAAGGGAACTGGGCGTTGATTCAAAATGTAGGCTAAGGGGTACCTGGGTGGCTCAGTGGGTGGGCCTCTGCCTTCAGCTTGGGTCATGATCTCGGGGTCCTAGAATCGAGACTGACATCAGTGGGGAGCCTGCTTCCCTTTCTCTCTCTTTTTGCCTGCCTCTCTGCCTACTTGTGATCTCTGTCAAATAAATAAATAAAATCTTTTAAAAAATAATGTAGGCTAAACTGTAGGTTTAAAACTGATGAATAAGATAGCTGGGAGGAGCCCTTCTGGAGTCAGAACATAATCACTGACCTCAGACACAATTCCAATGAAAGAGCAAGAATTTAATTGGGTTAGTTTGTAGAGCAATTATATACGAGGGCACTGCTGAAGGTAATAGAGCAATAGCAACTAGTAATCTAGCAACTAGCAAGATTTTAACAAGTGATTAGGGAAATAGAGGAAGACAGCCCTACCAAAATCAGTGTCATGCCAGGGTAACTGTGGGCATATTCTAAACCAAACCGTCCTGAGTAGCAATATCAGAGGGACAACACTACTTGGGGTGGAGAGAAGGAACAGAATTCACTGGCACAATCCAGCCAATTACCAAACAAATGAACAAGAAAATAACAACAGGCCTGGAAGGAGAGGGCTGTAACCAGAAGTGCTAGAATATGTAACCTAAAATATCCACTACCTGACAAAAATGTACAAATAGACAGGAAATCATGACCTATACAAGGGAAAAAAGCAGGGGACCAAAACTGCCTGCAAGAGTAACCAGATATTGGAATTATCCAAAAAAGATTTTAAACTAGCCGTTACAAATATATTCATAGAGCTAAAGAGACATAAATAAATAAATAAATAACTAAGATGAGAATATTCAAATTATTAGAATCAGAAATGAAAGAAGGGATATGATAACTGACCTTACCAAAATTATAAAGATTATAAAAAAAGTACTGTGAACAGTTACATATCCATAAATCAGATAACTGGAATGAAATGGACAAATTCCTAGAAAGACACAAACTACCGAAACTGTCTCAGAGAGTAAATCTAAATGGATTCATAGTGAAAAGACTGTATAGTAATCAAAAGCTAACCACAAAGAAAAGTCAAGGTCCAGATGGCTTCACTATTGAATTCTATTGCACATTTAGTGAAGAATTAATACCAATTATTCACAAACTATTTCAAAAAGTAAAAAAGACAAAATTTTTCCCAACTAATTTTATAAGATCAGCATTACCTTGATACCAAAACCAGACAAAGATATTACATAAAACCTATAGACCAGTATCTCTTGGGAATATGGATGAAAAAATCCTTAGCAAAAATTAGCAAAGTGAATCCAGCAACATAAAAAGGGAATTATACACCATGACCAAGTGAAATTTATCACAAATGCAAGGTTAATTACATATCCAAAAATCAATTAATTTAAGAAATCATATCAGTAGAATGAAAGTCACATGATTATGTTATAGACACAGAAAAGGCATCTGAAAAATTTAACACACTTTCATGATAAAAACACTAAAAAAACTAGTAATGGAAACTTTCTCAACTTCATAAAGAGTATCTGACAGACCCACAGCTAATAGCCTACTTAATGGTGAAACTGTGAAAGCTTTCCCCAAATCAGGACCAAAACAAGGCTGTTCACTCCTATCACTTCTATTCAACATTGTCTGGAGGTTCTATCCAGGGACTTAGGCAAGCAAAAGTAATCAAATGCATTGTTAGAAGAGAAGTAAAACTACCTCTATTTACGACAGATCTTCTATACAGAAAATCCTAAGGAAGCCACTAAAAAAACTATTACAACAAATAAATGAGTTGAACAAGATTGGAGAATACAAGACCAATACACAAGAATCAATTTTATTTCTATATACTTGCAATGAACAACCTTAAAATGAAATTCATATATAACTTCATATACAATATCATTAAAAAGAATAAAATACTTAGGAATAAATTCAACAAAAGAAGTGTAAAACTTACATTTTGAAAATGCCAAAACATTGTTGAAAGAAATTAAAGATCTAAATAATTGGAAAAACACCTCACTTTCATGGATCAGAAGACATAACATAGTTAAGATGGTAATACTTCATGCCTATCTACACACTCAACATAATTCCTATATGAATCTTGAATGACTTCTTTGTAAAAGTTGAATAGCTGGTTCTGGAATTCATATGGAATTGCAAGGGACCCAGAAGAGTCAAAACAATCTTGAAAAAGGAGAAAGTAGGATGATTCATGCTTTCTGGTTTTAAAATTTATTACAAACCACTAGTAATCAAGACAGTATGGAAGTACAAGGATAGATCAGTGGAATATATTTGAGAGTCTAGAAATAAACCATAAATAAACGGTCAGTTGATTTTCAACAGGGTGTTAAGACTATTCAATAGGGAAAGAATAGTATCTTTAACAAATGGCAAGAGAACAACTAGAGGGGTGCCTGGGTGGCTCAGTGGGTTAAAGCCTCTGCCTTCGGTTCAGGTCATGATCCCAGGGTTCTGGGATCGAGCCTTGCATTGGGCTCTCTGCTTGGTGGGGAGCCTGCTTCCTCCTCTTTCTCTGCCTGCTTCTCTGTCTACTTGTGATCTCTGTCTGTCAAATTAATAAATAAAATCTTTGAAAAAAAAAAAAGGAAAAGAGAACAACTAGATATCCACATGCTAAAGAATAAAGTTAGACCCTTACCTCACACTGTATATAAAATCCTCAAATGGATCAATGACCTAAATGTAAAAGCTAAAACTGTAAAACTCTTAGAAGAAAACAGAGATAAATCTTCATGCCTAGGATTTGGCAAAGGATTGTTAAATGCCAAAGAACAAGAGACAAATGAAAAAAGAGATACGTTGGGCTTTGGCAAAATTTTGTGCTTTAATCAACATCATTAAGAAAGTGAAATGACAGGGGCGCCTGGGTGGCTCAGTGGGTTAAGCCTCTGCCTTCGGCTCAGGTCATGATCTCAGGGTCCTGGGATTGAGCCCCGCATCGGGCTCTCTGCTCAGCAGGGAGCCTGCTTCCTCCTCTCTCTCTGCCTGCCTCTGCCTACTTGTGATCTCTGTCTGTCAAATAAATAAATAAAATCTTAAAAAAAAAAAAAAAAAAAAGAAAGTGAAATGACGGGGTGCCTGAGTGGCTCAGTGGGTTAAGCCTCTGCTTTCAGCTCAGGTCACGATCTCAGGGTCCTGGGATCGAGCCCCGCATTGGGCTCTCTGTTCAGCTGGGAGCCTGCTTCCTCCTCTCTCTGCCTGCCTCTCTGCCTACCTGTGATCTCTCTGTCAAGTGAATAAATAAAATCTTAAAAAAGAAAAAGAGAAACGACAATGTACATAATGAGAGAAGACATTTTCAAGTAATAAATCTGATAAGGAACAAACACATATAAAGAACCCTCATAATTTAATTAAAACAAACAAACAAATAGTAATCCAATTAAAAATGGGCAAAGGACATGAATAGATAGTACTTCCAGGAAAGAGATACAAACAACTGATAAGCACATGAAAAATGGTCAACATCATTAGTCACCATGGAAATGCAAGTCAATCACAATTAGGTATCTTTTCACAACCACTACTATGGTCAGAATGAAGAAATAAGGTAACAAGAAGTGTTGATAAGGATGTGGAAAAATGGAACCCTCATATATTGCAGGTGGAATACAGAAAGATACAGTTGCTTTGGAAAATAGTTCTTCAAACAAACGCAAAGTCACCCAAGTTACCAAGCAATTTCACTTTTAAGTATAACCCAAGAGAACCAAAACATGTCCACACAAGAACTTGCATATGAATGTTTATAGTAGTGTTATTCATAATAGCTTAAAGGTGGAAACAAGTAAAATGTCTATCAACTGAAATGGATAAATAAAATGGGACATATCCACAAAATGAAATATTATTAGGTCATAAAGAAGAATGAAGTACTGATACACACTACAACATGCATGAACTTTGAAAACACTGTTAATCAAAAGAAGTTAATCACAAAAGACCACATATTATTTGAGTGCACCAATAGAAAATATCCAGAACAGAGAAATTTATGGAGACAGAAAGTAGATAAGTGATGGGAGGGGTGAATGAGGAGATGGGGAGATGACAGTTAAAAGGTAAGGGGTTTGGGGCGCCTGGGTGGTTCAGTGGGTTAAAGCCTCTGCTTTCCGCTCAGGTCATGATCTCAAGGTTCTGGGATCGAGCCCTGCATCGGGGCTCTCTGCTCAGCAGGAAGCCTGCTTCCCCCACTTTCTCTCTGCCTGCCTCTCTACCTACTTGTGATCTCTGTCAAATAAAAAAATAAAATAAAAAAATCTTAAAAAAAAAAAAAAGGTAAGGGGTTTTGGGGCGCCTGAGTGGCTCAGTGGGTTAAGCCTCTGCCTTTGGCTCAGGTCATGATCTTAGGGTCCTGGGATTGAGCCTCAAATCGGGTTTTCTGCTTGGCGGGGAGCCTGCTTCCCCCTCTCTCTGCCTTCCTCTCTGCCTACTTGTGATCTCTCTCTCTGTGTCAAACAAATAAGTAAAATCTTAAAAAAAAAAAAAAAAGGTAAGGGGTTTCAATTTTCATTTTGATACAAATGTTCTAAAATTGTGGAGATGGTTGCATATCTGTGAATATCCTAAAAACCACTGACTTGAATACTTTAACTGGGTGACTTGTATGGTATGTGAATTATATCTTAATAAAGCTGTTAAAAAAAAAAAAACTTAAATACTTAACTATCTTTTTCTTAAGTAATCTCTATGCCCAATGTGGGTTTGAACTCATGAGCCTGAGATCCGGAGTCGCATGTTCTACCAACTGAGCCAGCCAGGTACCCCAAATGCTTAAACTATTAAACAAGCAGTCTTTATATTTATTTATACCAAGGACTTTGCTGTTTTGTAAATCGAAATGGATGTGTAAAGCTTTACGAACTCTTCCAATTACACTAGTGATTTCCATTATACTAAGGAGGTAGTTGGAAACCTGAGAACATTAATAGCCATCTGGTCAACACTCTAAAATAAATCTGTAATTTTCAGATGGATGTTCCTCTATAAACTTAGTTTTTGCTGATACCAAAGTCCTTCCTTTAACTTAAATTTTATAGTTAGAATAACAAATGCCCCACCCTAATACCTTCAAGAGAACGAAGTGTTATTTTACAAACCGATTTGAGTTGGCTGTTTTCATCTTTCAGTTTCACAACATGCTTGATTTTTTGCTTTAGATTTTGATGACCCAGTAATTTAGCATATGAATCTCTTAGTTTATTTAGTTGTTCCTGAGCTTCACCATGTTCATTCAACAAAGCCTGTTTCTCTGCTTCAAATGCATCCAGTTGTAGCTGAAAAAGAGTTTTTTTAAATAGACTTAGAAATGTTAAATTTACATGTCTTATATGAACTACAAATGAAACTCAAATACAAAAAAAAAAAAACCCACAAAAAACAAAACGATGGATGAAAACAGATCATGTTGGCATATTCTCAGGGCTCTCCATAAATTCTGTGAGACTCCTTAAAAAAATTTTGGTGTATTTCATTTCCAAGATCACTAAAACACAGGGAAAGAAGGCAAGCTAGACAGCCTAATCTGTGTGTCAGCTGGATCACCATGTTATAATCAACACTCTCACTTTTTTAAGTGGTAAGATTAGTGTTTATCTTTTTTAAAGATCAGTATATATACATATATATGTGTATATATATATATATATATTTTTTTTTTTTTTAAGATTTTATTTTTATTTATTTGACAGAGATCACAAGCAGGCAGAGAGGAAGGCAGAGAGAGAGGGGGAAGCAGGCTCCCTGCTGAGCAGAGAGCCTGATGCGGGGCTCAATCCCAGGACCCTGAGATCATGACCTGAGCCGAAGGTAGAGGCCCAACCCACTGAGCCACCCAGGTGCCCCTTAAGATCAGTATATTAATTTGAGAAACACAGAAAAAATGTAACAAAATTAAGGATCACAGATTTACATAAATTATCAAAAATTTATATCAGGACAGCCTGCTAAGCTATTAATGTCTCTTATTAGAAAGTAATTTTTAGGGGCGCCTGGGTGGCTCAGTGGGTTAAGCCTCTGCCTTCAGCTCAGGTCATGATCCCAGGGTCCTGGGATCGAGCCCCAAGTCGGGCTCTCTGCTCATCGGGTAGCCTGCTTCCCCCTCTCTTTCTGCCTGCCTCTCTGCCTACTTGTGATCTCTGTCAAATAAATAACTAAAATTTTTTTAAAAAAGTAATTTTTAGCTTATAAAGACTATACAAAAAATGTATGCATAAGAATGTAAAAAAATTTATAAGTCTCCTTTAGTAGGAGTTAAAATGGCACTGTAAATATACAGCAAAGTGATCTTTCAGAAAAATCAAGTCACTGTGTTGACTGACAGGGAACAAAGTGAATGCCTAAAAGAAACAAAAGTGAGCATAGTCCCAATAGACAAACCTGAAAAGGTTTTGTTTTATTATATAGTTCTTCATAAAGGAGACGCCACTTATTCATTTCCTCAGTTAACTCTGCCACTGTGTTTTCTTTTCCAGCTTTTCTGTAAGGAGAAATGAAATTTTAAAACATAGTGCTTTAGAAAAATTAACTGAGGCAGTCAGGTTCTAAACCTAGATTACCGTGCTTCTTCCTCTTCGAGTTGTTTCTTGAACTCTTCACCTTGTTCCTTGAGTTGGTTCTGCAAATCAGTTATTGTTTTAAGAGAGGAGACTGTGATTTCTTTAATTTCTGCTTCTTTACGTGCTGACTTGGTCTGCAGGTCTAGAAGCATCCTTCAGTTTGAGAGAGAAGAGTCCATTAAACATTTTATAGCCACTTTAGTAACTTTTCCTCTTTCTTTTACTTAACAAAACAAACCAACAAAACAAACTCAAGGAACTCCCCAAAATTGTACTTTTTTAACTATGTAAACTTTTAATTTGTAATTGAAGATCACCCAAAGCAAGTCATGAAATTACAATTCCCTGCATCACTTAGCAGCTGACTTTCAACAACATTAAATTATCTTAACAGTTGTAAGGCTACAAGTGTGGGCAGGTTTTAGTTCTCCCACATACCTTGCATATTCTTGATTTGCATTCTCAGTTGCCAATATCTGATGATGAATGTCCTCTGCACTTTTCTCGGCCTTGGCCACTTTTTCCTGAAGTGATGAATTCTCCAGCTTAAGATCTTCTATCTCACTAGCTGTTAATGCTTTATAACTTATTAAAAGGAAAATAAAAAGTTGAAGGATTTTTCTAACTATCGTATGCATGATAAACATATAGCTCATTAGTTTTTATTTTATACAGTTTAAGGTAACACAAACAAACCCCTTATAAACCATGCATTTACGGAGGTAAAAATTCAGTTGTGCCTATGTGCAAGTGTGCTTTCTCTCTCATAAATAAGTATAAAAATAAATCTTTAAAAAAAGGAAAAGAAAACTAAAGCGCACCGTAAGCTGCGCTTAAAGGCACCCCCATATGATCATTTCAACAGAAGCAGAAAAACATTTAACAAAGTACAACATCCATTCATGATAAAAACTCTCTGCAAAGTAGGTCTAGAGGGAACATACCTCAACATAATAAAGGCCTTTTATGAAAAACCCACAGGCAACATCATAGCCAATATTGAAAAACTGAGAGCTTTTCTTTTAGGAAGAGCTTTTCCTTTAAGAAAAGAGCTTTTCCAGGGCTCCTGGGTGGCTCAGTGGGTTAAGATTCTGCTGTAGGCTCAGGTCATAATCTCAGAGTCCTGGGAACAAACCGCATTGGGCTCTCTGCTCAGCAGGGAGCCTGCTTCCCAGCCCCCCTTTCTCCTTGCCTCTCTGCCTACTTGTAATCTGTTAAATAAATAAAATCTTTAAAAACAAACAAAAAATAAAATAAAATAAAAGAGCTTTCCTTTAAGGTCAGGAACAAGACAAGGATGTCTACTCCACCACTTTTATTCAACATAGTACTGCAAATCCTAGCCACAGCAATTAGACAACAGAAAGAAATAAAAGGCATCCCAATTGGTAAGTAAGTACATGACATTATGTATAGAAAACCCTAAAGACCGCACCAAGAAACTACTGGAACTGATAAATGAATTCAGTAAAGTCACAGGATACAAAACTAATATACAGAAATGTGTTGTATTCCTTTACACTAATAATGAAGCAGAAGAAAGAGAAATTAAGAAAGTACCATTTATAATCGTACCAAAAACAATATCTAGGAATAAATTTAACCAAAGAAGTGAAAAACCTGACTCTAAAAACTATAAAACATTGATGGAAGAAATTCAAAATGACACAAGGAAACGGAAAGGCATTCCATGCTCATAGGTTGAAAGAACAAATATTGTTAAAATGCCTATAATTGCCCAAAGCAATCTACAGATGTAATGCCATCCCTATCAAAACACCAAAAGTGACGGTATGTGATATGGTAAGTGCTGTGAAGTGTGTAAGCCTGACAATTCACAGACCCGTACCCCTGGGGGCAAATAATACATTATATGTTAATAAAAATTATAAACAAAACAAAACACTGAAAGCTTTTGCATAGAACTAGAACAAACAATCCCCAAATGTGTATGGAACCACAAAGACCTCAAACAGTCAAAGCAATCTTGAAAAAGAAAAACAAAACTTGAGGTACTACAACTTTAGATTTCAAGTCATATTACAAAGTGGTTGTAATTAAAACAATATTGTACAAGTATAAAAATAGACACAAAGATCAATAAAACAGAACAGAAAATCTGGAAATAATCCCACAATTATATGGTCAATTAATCTTGGACAAAGGAGGAAGGAATATACAATGGGAGAAAGATAATTTCTTCAATAAATGTTGTTGGTAAAACTGGATAGCTACCTGAAAAAGAATGAAACTGGACCACTTTCTTTCACCATACACAAAAATAAGCTCAAAATGTATTCAAAACCTATATGTGAGACCTGAAATCATAAAAATCCTTGAAGAGAGCAAAACATTAATCTGACATTGGTTATAGTAATATTTTTCTAGATATAGTCTCCTGAGGTAAGGGGAATAAAAGCAAAAATAAACTACTGGGATCACATCAGAATAAAAGGTTTTGGCATAGCGAAGAAAACAATCAACAAAACTAAAAGGCAACCTACTGAGTGGAAGAAGGTATTTGCAAATGACATATCTGATGATGGGTTAGCATCCAAAATATATAAAGAACTGATAAAACTCAGTATCTAAAAAACAAATACTGCAATTAACAAATGAGCAGAAGACATGAACAGAAATTTCTCCAGAGATCCAGATGGCCAACAGACACATGAAAAGATGCTCAATATGACTCATCATCAGAGAAATGTAAATCAAAACTACAAAGAGATATTACCTCACACGTATCAGAATGGCTAACCTCAAAAACATAAAAAACAACAAGTGTTGACAAGGATGTGGAGAAAAAGGCACCCTCTTGCACTACTGTTGGGAATGCTAACTGGTGCAGCCACTGTGGAAGACAGTATGGAGGTTCATCAAAAAACTAAAAATAGAAATATCCTATGACCCAGCAATCACATTACTGGGTATCTTCCCCCTAAATACAAAAGCACTAATTCAAAGGGATACAGGCACCCCTATGTTTACGGCAGTATTATCAACAATAGCCAAACTATGGAAGTGGTCCAAGTGTCCACTGATAGATGAATGTATACAGAAGATGTGGTAGATATATACAATGGAATAATATTCAACCATAAAAAAGAAATGAAATCTTGCGATTTGTTACAACATGGATAGAGCCAGAGAGTACGCTGCTAAATACAATAAGTCAGAAAAAGAAAAATACCATATGGTTTCACTCATCTGGAATTTAAGAAACAAACAAGCAAAAATAAATAGATTAACCAAGAAACAGACTCTTAATTATAGAGAATAAACTGATTGTTACCAGAGGGGTGGGTGGGGGGGATGGGTGAAATAGGGGATGGGGATTAAGGAGTACACTTATAATGATGTAAAAAGATAAAATGAAATAAATAATAAAAGAAATGAAAAACCACCCAAAAGCCCAAAGTGAGAATGGGTAAATTATATTAATAAAGTCAAATATTCTACAGCAGTTACTATGAACAAACTATAACCTCAGTCAATAATGTGCCTCAATTCTTGAAACATACGTATTGCAGAATATAAAGACAAGTCTCAGGAAATGACATCCAGCATAATGACATTTTTTGGCAAGATTCAGGAAAAAGGCAAAATTCAAAATATATTTGTATGGAAATACTGCTATAAAATTACACACAGGAAAAAAGTGAGGAAATTGTTAATGTAGGCTTTAAATGGTGTTATTTGTTGGTGGAAAGCAGGCAGATGGGATAGTAGTAGAACTCCTATATAACACCAAATTGTTGAAACCTTTTGGCTTACTGGTTTGGTTGTCTTTTACTGACTCATAAATTTTTTTTTTTCAAGATTTTATTTATTTATTTGACAGAGAGATAAATCAGTAGACAGAGAGGCAGGCAGAGAGAGAGGGAGAAGCAGGCAGAGAGCCTGATGTGGGGCTCGATCCCAGGACCCTGAGATCATGACCTGAGCCGAAGGCAGAGGCTTAAGCCACTGAGCCACCCAAGGTGCCCTGACTCATACATGTTGGTTTTATCTTTATGTTTTATAATTTATGTGTTGTATACCATTTGCATTTATTAAATATACTAAAATAGATATAAGAAAAAGAGACTTCATTCCAAAATGCTCTAAATATAATAAAAATGTTTGTATCAATATGCTCTTGGTGTGAGATGAAAACAAATTTCTTAAATTATCCCTGAAATTTATAGTTCCCCCCCGAAATAAAATTTTTTTTAAAAAGGGAAGTAAGTAGATAGAATAGGAAGTGAGGAAATGGATATAGTAGATATAATCTTCTATCAAGACAATCTATAGAGGAGTACAATTTTGGATTAAGAAGGGTGTTGTGAGTGAGAGGTGTTGCTGGATAGCTGCAAAAGGATATGGGGGAGTGAAAGGAATTAATAAAATTTATGTATTTTAAAGAGTTTATTTATTTATGTGAGAGAGAGAGAGAGAGAGAATGTGTGTGAGTGAGTGGTGGGGAGGCGAGGAAGAGACAGAGAGGCAGGGAGAGGAAGAAGGAAAGAATCTCAAGTAGACCACATCTTGAGCGTGGAGCCTGAAGTGCAGTTTGATCTAATGACCCTGGGATCAAGACCTGAGCTGAAACCAAGAGTCTGATGCTTAAAAGACTGAGCTACCCAGGCACCCCTAAAACTTACATATTTTTTTTATATATATATATATATATATATATATTTTTTTTTTTTTTTTTAAAAGTTTGGGGGGGTACGCTAGTGGGGGAGGGGGAGAGGGCGGGGGGGGGGGGGAGAGAGAGAAGCAGACTCCCTGCTGAACACAGGGCTCTATCTCATGACCCTGAGATCATGACCTGAGCCGAAATCGAGTCAGACGCTTAAATGATTGAGCCACCCAGATGCCCCTAAAATTTATGTATTTTATTTTATTTTTAAGATTTCATTTATTTATTTGAAAGAGAGAGAATGAGAGAGAGAGAGCATGAGAGTGGGGAGGGTCAGAGGGAGAAGCAGACTCCCGCTGAGCAGGGAGCCCAATGCGGGACTGGATCCTGGGACTCCAGGATCATGACCTGAGCCAAAGGCAGTCACTTAGCCAACTGCCACCCAGGTGCCCCTAAAATCTATGTATTTTATTTTATTTTCTTAAGATTTTATTTATTTATTTGACAGAGAGAGACACACACACAGAGATGGAACACAAGCAGGGGGAGTGGGAGAGGGAGAAGCAGAGCCTGATGTGGGGCTCGATCCCAGGACTCCGGAATCATGACCCGAGCCGAAGGCAGACACTCAATGACTGAGCCACCAAGGTGCTCCAAATTTATGTATTTTAAAGATAAATGCACATTAACATTTTTTTATACTGATTGAGACAAATTCAGTAGAAAGTTTGAAAAGGACAAATGGAATAATGTTACTAAAGACTGGAACACTCCTCCTGTAATAGGTGAGATGATAGGATGAGCATAAATGCAGGTGTGTTTACAGGTTTGGAAAAAGATGTGAGGAAAAAGATGGTGTCAGGAGAGTAAGACAGAAGTGCCAATGGTTTGAGAGTACATGAAATTTGATGGAGATGGCAGGAAAGGAAATTTGTATACATAGTAAGCTTACCAGGTGATAATCCTAAATGCCCATTTATGGCTGATAATTATGGAATTTAGAGTAATACCAACGCCTCTATTAGTGCGGTTATTTTTTCAGATTTCGCTAAACATGCCTCCCCACTCATATTATATTTGAGAGTACAGGCTCCTGATAAAAATACCTTTCAAACTGAGCAGTAACGTCTCCAAGGTTTTGCACTGTACTATCATACTTCTCCTGTAAAAGCAGGGTAGTCTGACTGAGAGTAGCATTCATTTTTTCCAGTTCAGCTTCTTTCCTAAGGAACAATGAAAAGATAAAACACTAATTACAAATCATTATTCTAAGGAAGGGATTAGTATTTACCTTTTGATACTGTGAATCATGTGTCCAATGTCTGCATCTTTGTATCTACTACTGGATAGCTTAGATCTAATTTTACAGTCTGCTTCTAATAGCATGTTTACTTATGCACTAACTTCTCTTCTGGATTCATCTTATCTTTCCTGCCCTTATCTTACTTTTGTTTTTATCCTAATTTACTCATTTCTAAATTTATCTTTCAATATTACATGTACTTATATAGGTAGTTAAAACATTCTTTTTTGAAGGAGGTAGGGTAAAAAGACTAAAACAATCTTAACAGCAGCAACCAAAACTAAAGAAAAATTACCAGTTAAAAAACACTTGGATTGAATAAAGTCTCTGCATTTAAATATTTAAGAAATACTAAGTGTCTTTAACTACACTTGGCATTTCTTTGAAAAAAGTTTATAGGGATCCCTGGGTGGCTCAGTCAGTTAAGTGTCTGCCTTCAGCTCAGGTCATGATCCCAGGGTGCTGGGATTGAGCCCTGCATTGTTTCTTCCTCTCCCTCTGCCAGCTGCTGTCCCTCCCACGTGCTTTCTGTCAAATAAAGAAATAGAATCTTGAAAAACAAAAAAGAAAAGAAAAGAAAAGAGTTTTTAGGACTATATAGATTTATTTCAGTAATCTTCATAATAAATTGTTATTACTTAAAGATTCAATAACTTATTTGGTAGATTATTATTCATTTATAGGCTGTCAGACACAGAAAATAACAGCTAATCAAATTCCTTGATTTTTTTAAAAGTTTTTTTTTTAAAAGATTTTATTTATTTATTTGACAGAGAGAGATATCACAAGTAGGCATAGAGATAGGAGGGGGCAGGGGGGTGGGGTGGGGAAGGCTCCCTGCTGAGCAGAGAGTCTGATGTGGGGCTCGATCCCAGGACCCTAAGATCATGACCTGAGCTGAAGGCAGAGGCTTAACCCACTAAGCCACTCCGGAGCCTCAAATTCCCTCCTTTTTAAAAATGTTAAATTATTTATTTATTATGTTCAATTAGCCAGCATATAGTACATCATTAGTTTTTGTTGTAGTGTTCAATGATTCATTAGGTGTATATAACATCCTGTGCTCAGCACAACACGTGCCTTCCTTAAGGTCTATCATCACCTGGTAACCCCATCTCTCCTCATCAAATTCCTTCTATAATGAGTATGGGTTTTCAAAAGTATATACACCAATAGCTGAAAGCAATCACATAGTAGTATAGGATTTATGACAAAAATATTCTCTTCCCTATCCCATAGAGAAATCACTTTCAATTTTCTTAGTTTTGTCTTATGCTTCTAAAATTTCCAGGCTGGAAGGGACTTTAGAGATCATGTCATTAAAACCTCTTAATTTTGTATCTAATGAAATAGAAAATTAAAGAAATTAGAATTGTCTTGCTTAGGATCACAGAGCTGGTTAGCAGATCCAGCAATAAAATCCTTATATCCTGACCTCTGTACCCAGCTCCTTGAGTTCGCATAAATGATTGTTTCAACTTCCTTTCCTCCCCGAAACTGACATCATCTACTCAGTTTCTTAAAGTGCTTGTTCCCTGAGCCTGGCTCCAGTATAGAATAATTTCCCTAATAACACTTTGGTACTTACTGCTCCCCTCAAAAGCAGGTTATATATAAAAGCTTTGTGTCCTTTTTATCTCTGATTACCACAAGAAAACAGAAAAAGGATTTTAGCAAAAATATGTTAACAGGAGAGAGATACACAGTTGTTAGATACATTATAATTCTGTGGACTCATGTATAGTTCTTGATTCCTTCTTAGAAATATTTTTAGTACAGAAATCCCAAGGACTAAAATAACATTTATTTTAGGTGCAACTTGAACTTAAGAATCAACCTTGATATTTTAATTTAAATAATGTGGTGCAGAAGGATGCATAATGTAATAAAAATAGGGGATTAGAATTAAAAGCAAAGTCCAAGGGGAGCCTGGCTGGCTCAGTCAGTGACTCTTGATCTCGGGGTTGAGTTCAAGCCCTACAGTGGGTGTGGGAAATACTTAAAAAAAAAAGAAAAAAGAGGGGTGCCTGGGTGGCTCAGTGGGTTGGGCCTCTGCCTTCAGCTCGGGTCGTGGTCTCGGGGTCCTGGGATTGCACCCTGTATTGGGCTCTCTGCTTGGCGGGGAGTCTGCTTCCCCCTCTCTCTCTGCCTGCTTGTGATCTCTCTCTCTCTGTCAAATAAATAAATTTTTTTTTTTAAATCTTAAAAGAAAAATTAAAAAAAAAAAAAAAAGAAAAGAAAAAGAAAAAAGATGGGTGCCTGGATGGCTCAGTCATTAAGCATCTGTCTTTGGCTCAGGTCATGATCCCAGGGTTCTGGGATCGAGTCCCACATTGGGCTCCCTGCACAGCAGGAAGCCTACTTCTCCCTCTGCCCCTTGCTTGTGTTGTCTCTCTTTCTGTCAAATAAATAAATAAAACCTTAAAAAAAATGAAAAAAAAGAGAAGTTTGAGATCTCTTAAATTTCTTATTTTTGAATATTTCCCAGGGTTTGGTTATTCTTTTCTATTCTTTTGCTTTTTTGATTGCTACTTCTGAGAGCACAGGTACTAAGTTATTAAAGGTGCAACTTATGCAACGTAAACTTATGTACACATAGGTGAAAAGCGGAAATGTTTCTTATTCAAGGGTGGGATTCTGACCTTTGTTTTCTTTCTAAATCTGTTATTGTTATAATGTTGACATCCAATAATTTTAGACAACACACGAGCAGTAAGAGAACCCCAAATTTTGGTCATTTATTAACATCCTTTTAAACTTTGGGCCTGAAAAAAAAAGAAGCTACGCTTCTGACTTCGGCTGTCATACTTGTTTGCATAAACATTCTATGGATATACTTTACTTCTCTCTATTCCTTACTTGTGAAATAATTCCAACCTCACTTACTTGCATGACTGACCTACGAATCCTGAGAGAATGTACTGGAAAACACTTTTTAACATCTGAAGTCATATCAGACACAAGGTCTTATCAATACAAACCCTCTCAGCTTTTCTTCTAGGAGTTTCAGTTCTTCAGCTCGAGATTTTGTTTCCTCTTCCAACTGTCTGACTAGCCTTTCAGCTTGTTCCTCCTTTTGCTGTAATTTATCTAGTTCATCCAGTGTTTGCTTTAATTCTTCCTCAAAGAGATTCCTCTCTTTCATCATTTCCTCTTGAAAAGAACATAGCTTCTGTTGAAGACTGGAGGACAATTCCTACATCCAAACAGAAAACCACTGAAATAGTATGAAATGGCCTTCTGAGGCTTTTACTAAGCACAAAAAAGAATGACAGATAATAAAGTATGAATACTAAATTCGAGAACTTCAAAGAAACTTGGAAAGTACAGATGTCACCTGTGTGTCATCATGGATTATATCCTGCACCATGTTAACACTGCGGTAAATGTTGTTTCAGTCTTTATTCTATGTATCACACCCCCACAACACATTTCTTGTAAAATTAAAATTATAATTTACAACTGAATTTTAGCATTTATCTTTCTCAGATGATACTATTTGAAAGGTATACTGTGATTTCAATAGTATAAAAATGTATTTGAATGTTATATTATAAACCACTACTGTCAAAAAATTCTAACATTAAAATAAAGTAAAGAAGGGGCGCCTGGGTGGCTCAGTGGGTTAAAGCCTCTGCCTTCAGCGTGGGTCATGATCTCAGGGTCCTGGGATCGAGTCCTGCTTCGGGCTCTCTGCTCTCAGGGAGCCTGCTTCCCCCTCTCTCTCCCTGCCTGCCTTTCTGCCCACTTCTGGTCTCTATCCGTCAAATAAATAAATAAAATCTTTAAAAAATTAAAAATAAAAAATAAAATAAAGAAGATACAAATAAATGGAGGGATACTCTGTCCTTGTGCATTGGAAAATTAATATTGTTAAAATATCCACACAACCATAGCAATCTATAGATTCTACGCATTCCCTATCAAAATGGGAAATTTTACAGAAATAGAACAATACTAAAATTTGTATTGAAACATAAAAGACCCTGAATAGACAAAGTGATCTTGAGAAAGAAGAACAAAGTTGGGGGCATCATGCTCCCTGATTTCAAACTCTCTTACAAATCTATAGTACTCAAAACAGTATGGTATTGACATAAAAACAGACACATTGAGGGATGCCTACTGGCTCAGTTGGTTAAGTGTCTGCCTTTGGCTCAGGAAATGATCCCAGGGTCCTGGGATCAAGCCCTACATTGGGTCCTTTGCTCAGCAGGGAGCCTGCTTCTCCCTCTGTGTGTGTCAAATAAATAAAATCTTTAAAAAAAAAATAAGACATATCAATCAATAGAATAAAGCCCAGAAACAAAAAAATTAGACACATCAATCAATAGAATAGAGCCCAGAAACAAACCCATACATACAGTCAATTAATTTATGATAAAAGAGGCAAAAAATATACAATGGGGAAAGAATAGTTTCTTCAATAAATGGTATGGGGAAAACTGGAAAACCACAAGCAAAAGAAGGAAGGTGGACCTACTACCTTATACCATAAATAAAAATTAACTCAAAATAGATTAAAGACTTGAATATAAGACCTGAAAACATAAAACTTCTAGAAGAAAACATATTAAGCAACTTGACATTGATCTTGGTGATGATCTTTTGGATATGACACCAAAGCAAAGGCAACAAAAGCAAAAATAAACAAATGGGGTGGTATTAAACTAAAAAGCTTCTACAAGAAGGGAAACCATCCAGAAAATGAAAATGTAGCCTACTAAATGGGAGAAAATATTTGCAAATCATATATCTGATAAGGGATTAATATCCAAAATATGTAAGGAACTCTTACAGTTCAAAAGCAAAAAAAAAAAAAAAAAAAACCAAAACCAAAAAACCCTAACAATCTGATTGAAAACTGGGCAGCAAGTGTGAATAGATGTTTCTCCAAAGACATATAGACAGCCAACAGGTACATGAAAAGATGCTCAATAACACTCATCATCAGGGAAATGCAAATCAAAACCACAATGAGATTTACCTCATACCTGTCAGAATGGTTTTCATCAAAAGGACAAGAAACAGGAGTGCCTGGCTGGCTCAGTTGGTAGAAAATGTGACTCCTGATCTTGGTGTCATGAGTTCAAACCTCACCTTGGGCACTGAAATTCCCTCCCCCCAAAAGGGACAAGAAATAGTAAAAGAGGAAGTGTTGGAGAGGATATAGAGAAAAGCGAACCCTTGTGTGCTGTTGGTGTGAATATCAGTTGGTGCAGTCACTACGGAAAACAGTATGAATGTTTCTCAAAAAATTAAATACACAACTGCCATACAATCCAGCAATTCCACCGCTAAGTATTTATCTGAAGAAAATGAAAATAGAAAAGATATATGCATCCAATGTACACATCAGCATTATTTACAGTCATCAAGATATTGAAAAAACTTAAATATCTACTGATGGATGAATGGATAAAGAAAATGTGGTATATACACAATTGAGTATTATTTATCCATTAAATAAAGAAGGAAATCTTGCTATCTATGATGTTATGGATGGACTTTGAGGATATTGTAATAAATAATAAATCAGACAAAGAAAATTACTATATGATCTTACTTATATGTGGAATCTAAAAGCAAACATTTAAAAAATCCAGCTACAGAGAACAGACTGGTGCTTGCCTGAGGCAGGGGTGGGCAAAATGGGGAAAGGAGTCAAAAGGTATAAACTTCCAGTTATAAAATACTCAGTCATGGGGATATAATGTACAGGGGGGTGACTATAGTTAACAATACTGTATTGCATATTTGAAAGTTGCTAAAAGAGTAGATCTTAAGGGGCACCTGGGTGGCTCAGTGGTTAAGTGTTGGCCTTCGGCTCAGGTCATGATCCCAGGTGCTGGGATTGAGCTCTACAATCGGGGTTTCTCCCTCTCCCTCTGTCTGCTGCTCTGCCTACTTGTGCTATCTCTCTGTCAAATAAATAAATAAAATCTTAAAAAAAAAAAAAGAGTAGATCTTAAACGTTCTCCTTAGAAGGAAAAAAATTCTTTAGCTATCTACAGTGATAGATGCTAACTAGGCTTATTGTGATAATTTTGCAATATACACAAATATTGAATTGTTATGTTGTTTATTAGAAACTCATATACTGTTGTATGTCAATTTATACCTCAATCAAAAACAAAAAGAAAAACCTGATATAGGTGTGCCCAGAGCACTTAATGAAAGAAAACCGGACCCTTTGCCTTTAAGAAGAATGGTCACTGTAAACAAGCATTCTCTCTACACTTTATACTCCTAACAATGCATTTAGGATCTTAAATACTAAGATACAAAAAAACATTTGAAAGGTCTGCCAACAATAACTGCAGTTGCGGGACTGGATGGCAGAAAAAAATAACAAAAAACAAAAGAACCCAGGTAAAGTGAAAATTGCCTCTGATTATACACCACCTCAATCTTAATGTTTTCTCAATGTAGAGATAACCATTAGTTTGGTATATATGCCTCCTGGTCTTTTCCTACACACTTATGTACTTAAAAAAATACACCCACACATACACATATAAATAACATAAACTACATATGTAAAGATCACATAAAAAAATCCTAAAAATGATTGTTGAAATCTTTAAGTCAGTATATATAGATCTACTTAATTCCTTCAGTTGTTGCAGGTTGCCCAACAATATTTCATATCAATGCATTCGAGTATCTATTTGCTCCACTCTCACTAACATGTTATGTATTATCAAATGTTTTAATTTGTACCAATCTTTTTTTTTTTAAAGATTTTATTTATTTATTTGACAGAGAGAGATCACAAGTAGACAGAGAGGCAGGCAGAGAGAGAGAGAGAGAGAGAGAGAGAGGGAAGCAGGCTTCCTGCTGAGCAGAGAGCCCGACTCGGGGCTCGATCCCAGGACCCTGAGATCATGACCTGAGGCAAAGGCAGCGGTTTAACCCACTGAGCCACCCAGGTGCCCCTAATTTGTACCAATCTTTTAAGGGAAAAACAATTATTTCCATTCTCAATTTCTTTGATTATTACTAAGGTAGAACATCTTTTTCATGTTTACAGATTATCTGAATTTTGACCTCTGAGAATGATGAATTTCCATCCTTTGCTCATTGGTTTTTGAGAACTGTTTTTCTCACTAATATGTACATTATTCTTTATGTAATCTAGATTTTTAAAAATGTCACTTTCGTTTCACATGCATTTAGATACCATTTTAAAACATAACTGTAAATGCCCAAGTAGTAATCTAACACATGTGCCAGGAAAATACATATTTTTTAAGATTTTAGTGTTAAGACTTTATTTTTTTAGAGATTTTATATATTTAAAGTCAATCAGAGAAAGACAGTTATCATGTGATCCTCTGATATGAGGAATTTGAGAGGCAGGGTAGGGGTTTGGGGGGGGTAGGGAAGGAAAAAATGAAACAAGATGGGATCAGGAGGGAGACTAACCATAAGAGACTCTTAATCTCACAAAACAAACTGAGGGTTGCTGAGGGGTGAGGGGGCAGGGAGAGGGTGGTTGGGTTATGGACATTGGGGAGGGTATGTGAAATGTTGAGTGCTGTGAAATGTGTAAGCCTGATGATTCACAGACCTGTACCCCTGAGGCAAATAATACATTACATGTTAATAAAAATAATTAAATAAAAAAAGATTTTATTTATTTATTTGACAGAGAGACACAGCAAAAGAGGGAACACAAGCAGGGGGAGTGAGAGAGAAGCAGGCTTCCCACTGAGCAAGGAGCCTGATTCAGGGCTTGATCCCAGGTCTCTGGGATCATAACCTGAGCTGAAGGAAGAGGCTTAAAGATAGAGCCACCCAGACACCCCAAGATTTTACTTTTAAGTAATTTCTTAACCCAAGGTGGGGCTGGTACTCATAATCCTGAGATCAAGAGTCATATGCTTGACCAACTAAACCAACCAGGTGCCCCACAAGAAAAAAAAAAAAATTTTAAGATTTTATTTACTTATTTGACATAGAGAGAGAGACAGCAAGAAAGGGAACACAAAGTAGGGGGAGTGGGAAAGGGAGAAGCAGGCTCCCCACGGAGCAGGAAGCCTGATGCAGGACTCAATCCCAGGACCCTATGATCACCGCCTGAGCTAAGGCAGATGCCTAATAACTGAGCCATGCCTAATAACTGGCGCCCCAAGAAAAAATTTTTAAACAATTTTCTTATTTTGGTTCATTAGTTGCTTATAATTTTTTCAAATTATCGATAAACCTGTCATAAATATCACTGCAGCATAGACAGGACAATTTACTCAGGATAAGATTCTAAAAATAGAAATGTCAGAGTGAAGCACATATACAATTGAAAGGTCTTCTGATACACAGGGAAATGTATGACATATAATAAGCACAAGTTGTTTTCTTTTCTTATATTGTAGTAAACTACCTTCTCTTGTTGCAGAAGTGAATCAATCTGTAATTCTTTTTGTTGTAGTTTTTCATGTTCCTGTTTTTCAAGAGTAAGTTTCTCCTTTAAGTTTTGCATTTCAGAATTTAGAGTTTCATTCCGTACTCTATCCCTCTTGACAAGGTCTTCTATAAAAGCGAAAAACGCGGAAATTAGATACTAACTTTGAGAAATCAGATTTCCATATTTTCTGCTATTAGCATGTTACACAGATCAAGTATTTGCAAAGAAATAAAGCCAAAACATAACTCAGAAGTTTGTATCATTTACTATATAGAATATAGTAATTCTATAATAAGTAAATAAATTCTATAATAAAACCTTGAAAATTGGTTCTGTATCTTCTCATTTTAAATGGCCACCTAATGGGGAAGTAAAAAACTGCACCACTGCATGTACTTCAATGAAGACAAGCAATATATTGAAATAAATAGAGAACAAACATTATAAAAGATAAAAATTCTCACATAGAGAACAGGATTTTTATGTTGTTTACATAATTATTAAAAAATGTTTTCAGATAGCAGTACTTTCCTTAAATATTGTACATATTATTTCTTTAAATACCTTTTTCTTTCTCGAGCAGCTGACACTTAGCATTCAGGTCTTCTACTTGTTTAGAAAGTAAAACAACATTTTCCTCAAGAGACTGCTTAAGGCTTACAACTTCATGATTCTTTTCTTTCAAATTTTCCTCTAACTGGGCAATATCTAGCTTGTATTTTTCCACTTGATCTGATGCACAACTGCATTAAAACAAATTATTTTGAAGAGCACATGATTTAGGCACAAGGAAAATGAACTAAAAAAGTATGAAATGATGTACTCATCACTATTCAACAAACTAAGGTCCAATTAAAAAATACTATTCAAAAAAAAAAAAAGAAAAAAAAAAACTACTATTCATCTTACCTAATTTCTTCGATGTATTCTAAGAGTTTTTCTGTTTCGGATTTTTCGTCAATCTTTTCCTTCTCTATTGAAAACCTGAAAAAAATGGCATATGTGACTATATACAATAATCACACGTAATGCTTAGTCTGTACCAAATACTGCCATATTGATATGCTGTTTCTAGAGTCCAAATTCTTTTTTTTAATGTGGGTTTTTTTTTTTTCAAGATTTTATTTATTTGACAGAAAGAAACACAGCGAGACAGGGACCACAAACAGCGGGAGTAGGAGAGGGAGAAGCAGGCCTCCCGCTGAGCAGAGAGTCTGATGTGGGGCTTGATTCCAGGACCCTGGGATCATGACCCGAGCCGAAGGCAGACACCCAACAACTAAAGCCACCCAGGAGCCCCTAATGTGGGTTTTTTAAATAAAGATTTTATTTTTAAATAATCTCTACACCAAATGTGGGGCTCAAATTTACAACCTTGAGATCAAGAGTCACATGCCCTACTGTAGCATCCAAATTCTAAACCATTATTTTATGTGACCTCAGGTTGACAATTTCAAATATACAAATAGGAAACTGAAGTTTTTTTTTTTTAAGAGTTCCAAATAAATTCTGATAAAATGGCTAAGATGATGAGAATTATCACCTATAACAACCTAAGTGTTAGAAATGATCTTTCCTATAGTTTTCCTGGCTTCCCTACCCACAACACATAGAAAACAGCACTTTATTGCTATAAAGCCTTTGTTTTAGGTTGCCTTTTATCTAAGTGCTCGTGTGTTACCTCCTCCAAACAATTCAATTTAAAAAATGAGCAAATGATTTAGATACCTTATAAAAAGATTTTTATGAATGGTCAGTGAGCACAGGAGAAGCTTGACCCTTATAGTAACAAAATTACAAAGGAGACACTACTTCCTACCTACTAGAAAGGCTAAAATCAAATAGACTGACAGTATCAAACTTTGGAGAGGAAGTGGAACTGGAATTATATCATATACTGCTAAGTACGACTGTAAAATGTGACAACCACTTTTGAGTTTTTTAACACATTATATGTATACTACACTACCCTATGATCAGGAATTCTAATCCTAGATGTTTATTCAAGAGAAATAAAAACCTATGTCCACAAAGACATATATAGTAGTCTTATTCACAATAGAAACTGGAAATCCAAATAATGATCAACAGAGAAATAGTCAACAAATGGAGGTATATTCAGGAGGTATAATAATGGTGCTACAACAAAGATTATGAGGCCTTTCCTCATCATTTATACGGAAGATAGACAAAATTAAGACATTCATACATCTTTTCAGCATAAAATGTTTGGGAATCATCAGGGCTCAGTTGAAGAAGAGAAACAGGGCAAGCAGGGAGCAATAAGTTAAGTGAAGGAAGGTTTAGTCTTGGTAAACAAGAGCAAGGTGAGAGAGGAAAATCAAGAATAGTTACACTTAATAATTTCTTTCTTTTTTAGTCACTCACAGTTTCCCCTCAAGTTGTGCTATTTTCCCCTGAGACTCCTCAAGATTCTTCTGAGTGACCTGTAGCTTCACCTCCATGCCTTCCTGTTTAGCCATCATACTCTACACAACAGAAATAACTGTTTTAGGAAATGAGAGATCATTCAGATCCCCAGATCCAGACACAGCAAACTCACCAAGATATCACTCACCCTCATCTTCGTTTCTCTTTTGTTTCTAAGTTTCATTAACTCAAGGCTTAGAAGTCTCATAGTCTTCTGGTTATTATCTTCAGAAAACTAAGTACAAGAAACATAAAAAATTCAGAAATATTTTCTACAAGGTCCTATATAAAAATCACAGAAATATTGATTATTCTCTTATTGGGCCTATTATTTACCTACATTATACTCTGGTAGAAAAAACAGGCTTTGACCACACCCAGATTACTGATTTTACACTATTACTGTTCTTGTCCCTCTCTTTGATTAATGTGACTTTCTGGTTCATTTATTTAAATTTTTGGGAAGGTTTTTTTTTTTAAGTAATCTCCACCCAATGTGGAGTTCAAACTCACAACCCCGAGATCGGGAGTTGCATGCTCCACAGATTGCGCCAGAAGGGCGCCCCTTTCTGGATTATTTTTGAGAGTGTTTGGGTGGTCACCTACCTCTGCATGCTGCAGAGTCCACTGCAAGCCTCTATAACAAGCTTCTTGGGAAGGATTCTGTCAAGTGTGTTTGCTTAATAAAATGCATCTGAATTGCCTGATCTCTTTGGAAATATGTAGATTACAGGGTCCACCTCAGGCCTACCAAATCAGAATCTCCCTCAGTGGGGTCCAGGAATCTGCTCCCTTCCACGAGCTTGATTCTTATGCACCCTCGTTCTCTTTGTGATCAAAGAGCTCAGCACATTACAGGCCCTGAATAAATGACTGTTATTAAACTGAACAGTGATTTACAGCCTCCTTATACTTCAGACAAAAGCAGATGACCATATGATGTCCTTTAAGATCTATTAGTATGGTAATACTAATAGACAAATTTATCTATTAAATATAGTTAGTCCACAAATTTATTCATTTCCCACTTCATTTCCAAAAGGATTTGCGATGGAAGCTTGCTGTTCTGCCCTTATTTATTTCAGAGAAAGATCTTTACAGTGGCTTCTAGGTGTAAATTTTGTAAGTTTTATTAATGGTCTTATTTACTGGGGGTGACTATGAAGAAGGATGAGAAAATGTCAGACATTAAAACAAAAGTAACTTGTTTATCACCTCTTATATGTCAGGTACCATAACAAAAAAGACCATAATAATTCTTCTTGGAAGCAGTTTAACATTTAAGATACATTTGCTGAAGGAAAAATACTAAACTAGAGCCTAAAATTCCCAAACAACTATATAAGAAAAAAACATGTTTAGAATTTATTTCATAGTAAATATTCTTGTCAGGTTCAAATACCTTTGATTTTAGTAGTTCATTAGTCCTGGTTAACTCAATAAGCTGTTTTTCTAGTGAAGCATTACTTGCAGAGAGAGATGTTTTCTCCCTGACTGTAGCATTTAGCTTGGCCTCCATTTTTTCCAACTCAGCTTCCAGATCCTGGATCCGCTTGTCCTGAGCACCACGTTCTTGCACAAGAATACGAATCTGGACAGAAACAAGGTGATAAATGAATGAATCACCAATACAGTGCCAACATAACTATATGCTATTGATAATGAAAACAATGCTTAAGTGATCGAGCCACCAGGCGTTCCAACTCTTTCCATTTTATAGCACATTTATTTTTCAGTTAAGTTGAAGCTCTGCTTACCTCTTTTTCTAATATCTTCAAATCTTTATCATTCTTTTGAGATTCCCTCTATTTAAAAGTCAAAGAACAGAGATAAACAAATTTAAATGCCACAAATACCACAAATTTGATTTTCAGCTATAAAAAAACATTAAAGTTTAATTCCTCTTTCTTTTCTTTTTCTCTTTCTTTTCTCTCTCTCTTTTTTTTTTTAACTAAACTCTACCTACCAATGTGCAACTTGAACTCACAACCTAAGATCAAGAGTCACATACTCTACTGAGTCAGCCAGGCACCCCTTTCTTTTTATTTTTTTTTCCTTAAAGATGTAATTGGCTTCATTAAGTGATTCATGAATCAGGCAGCAACCTATCTAGCAAGTGGAGGGGAGCTCCTCACCAAACAGCTAATTTCTATTTAAAACATTTTACTTAGCCTAGTAAACATTTTGTAGGAGACTTACCTGGTAGAAGAAGGAAATGTTCTTTAAATCTTAAAATATTTCAGGTTTAAGTTTTCACCCTACTAGATTATTAGGCTTTTCCTAATAAGTCCAAGGAAAAGAACAGGTGGAACTTCATGAATAAAGCTACTGAATGCCTTCTTTCTAATGTTAAACATTAATACATTTTGAATATTTAATTATGTTATTCCAGAAAGAAAAGAATCTTACAAAGAGAAATAAAGTTAAACCTTGATACCCAAAGAGAGAAAAAAAGCTACACATGCAAAGACATAAAAATTAAAATGGTGTAAGCAGATTTTTTTTAAAGATTTTATTTATTTGGGGTGCCTGGGTGGCTCAGTGGGTTAAAGCCTCTGCCTTTTGCTCGGGTCGAGATCCCAGAGTCCTGGGATCGAGCCCAGCATTGGGCTCTCTGCTCCTCAGGGAGCCTGCTTCTTCCTCTCTCTCTGCCTACTTGTGGTCTCTGTCAAATTAAAAAAAAAAAAAAATCTTTAAAGATTTTATTTATTTGTTTGAGAGAGAGAGAACACAAAGGGGGTAAGGTCAGAGGGAGAAGCAGACTCCCCACGGAGCAGAGAGCCAGATGTGGGGCTAGATTCCAGGATCGAGACCTGAGCTGAAGGCAGACGTTTAATCAACTGAGCCACACAGGTATCCCCTGTCAGCTGATTCTAATTTACTTATTGCCTTTATTCTAAATAAGACACACAATTTTGCTCTATGTATTTTTATATCCAACAGCTTTTCTGAAATAACAGCCCTAAACAGAATATCCATCTTTTCCACCTAAAATGGAATAAAATGGATAAACATACTGCACACAACTTGTTTTATGTGCTTCTAAGTTGAGGAGGCCTACATCATTCTCATATTTATTAATTTTCCACAGGATGGCATTTTCTATCAAGGATGGCCAATTATTTAGGGGTTTTATACAAACCTGTATGCAATTTAGTTTTCTAAGAGTTCTGTAGTCAATTCAAAATTTTAGAATCGTTTCTTTAAGAAATTCAAATCAGGAAATTTAAATCAACTTCTTAAAAAAATTTTTTTTAATTTTAATTCCAGTACAGTTAATATACAGTGTAATATTAGTTTCAGGTGTACAATATAGTGATTCAATACTTCCATACAACACCAGGTGCTCATCAAGACAAGAACACTCCTTAATCCCCACCACCTATGTCACCCATCTTTCCACCCTCCTCCTCTCTGGTAACATCAATTTGTTCTCTAAAGTTAAGAGACTGTTTCTTGATTCGTCTCTCTCTTTTTTTTCCCCCCTTTACTCATTTGTTTTGTTCCTTAAATTCCACGTATGAGTGAAATCATATGGTATTTGTCCTTCTCTGACTTATTTCGCTTAGCATTATCCTCTCTAGGTCCATCCATGTTACTGCAAACAGCAGGATTTTATTCCTTTCTATGGCTGAAGAATATCTCATTGTATATACATTTAAATCACTGTGTAAGAAAAGACTGTCTATATCAGTGCTGCCCTATAATATATCACAGACCACATATATATTTTCTTTTAGAGAAAAAATGGGGAGGAGGGGGAGGGAGAATCAGATCCCCGCTGAGCAGGGAGCCCAACCTGGGGTTCAATCCCAGGATGCCGAGATCATGACCTGAGCTGAAGACAGGCGCTAAACCAACTGAACAACCCAGGTACCCCCACATATGTATTTTCAAATTTTCTAGTAGTTACATATATAAGTTTTAAAGTTATTTATTTATTTAAGCAATCTCTATGTCCCATGTGGGGCTCAAACTCATGACCTCAAAATCAAGAGCTGCACAGTCTTCTGACTGAGCCAGCCAGGCACCCCTCTAGTAGTCATATTTAAAAAGTAAAAATTTTGTAATATATTTTATTTTACCCTAAATGTAAGAAGTATTATTTCAATTATTGTCATTAGTATAAAATTATTAGTGAAACATTTTATGTGTTTTGTATTAGGTCTTCAAACCTTGCTGTGTATTTTACATTTATGGCACATCTCAATTCAAATGCTAGATTTTTATCAGAAATAGCTATCTATGGGGCACCTGAGTGGCTCAGTTGTTTAAGCATCTGACTCAATCTCAGCTCATGTCTTGATCTCAGGGTTGTGAGTTCAAGCCCCACACTGGGCTCCAAACTGTAATGCTGGGTGAGGGACTACTTCCAAAAAAAAAAAAAAAAAAAAAAGAGAGAGAGAGAGAGAGAGAGAAAGAAATAGCTATCTATATTTAGATTCCATAAACTGTGCAGATGAAGAAGTAGATTCATATCCCCAATATGTTCCAAAAAAAATTTGTGTTTTCCAACAACAGAATCAAGTACTGGTTTTTAAATATATATTAAATAAAATTAAATAATATTAAAAATTTAGCTCTTCAAGTTCTCAATAGCCACATGTGGCTAATCACTTCCATATTGGATAATGAAGCCCTTTATTATAAAATGAGAGACTTAGGTAATTGCTGAACAAATGAACAAGGCTAAGCTTAACCTACAGCCTTGGTTTCCTAACTTTGAATCTTTTCCATATTAACAAATTTCTTTTGTAACTTCTTAAGAAACTACAACTTGCTTTATGAACTAATGGAAACAGTTACAACATGTAGGCTGTTGCACAAGCCATAACATGAAGTTAAGAATTTAATCTCCTACCACTCAAAAACTGAGAGTTTTTGAGCAGCACATCTCTTTAAGGCATTAGATTTTTTTTTGCTTTTTCTTCACCTATACTTACCTTTCCACACAAATAAACAAAACTAAAACAACTCAAATGATATTAACTACCAAATCAAAGAACTGCAAACTTTTTTTTTTTTTTTTTAAGATTCTTTATTTATTTATTTGACAGACAGAGACCACAAGTAGGCAGAGAGGCAGGCAGAGAGAGAGAGGAGGAAGCAGGCTCCCCGCCGAGCAGAGAGCCCGATGCAGGGCTCGATCCCAGGACCCTGGGATCACGACCTGAGCCAAAGGCAGAGGCTTTAACCCACTGAGCCACCCAGGTGCCCCAGAACTGCAAACTTTTTAAAGACTTACAAGGAGTTGGACAAATTACCTAGATAGAGAAATGACTGAGAAGTGGGTATCATATTGTAATTCTGAGCTATGCACATGTTTATTTTTTATTTTTTATTTTTTTAAAGATTTTATTTATTTATTTGACAGTGAGAGATCACAAGTAGAGAGGCAGGCAGAGAGAGAGGGGGAAGCAGGCTCCCTGCTGAGCAGAGAGAACCCGATGCGGGGCTCGATCCCAGGACCCTGAGACCATGACCTGAGCCGAAGGCAGAGGCTTTAACCCACTGAGCCACCCAGGTGCCCCTATGCACATGTTTAAACAATATATTTAGTAATGATGCAGGCAGAAATGAAATCTTGGTATAGTCCTAATGGTAATATTTTTTATTAACTTATAGGTTTACTTATAACCTTACTTTATACACTTAATCCATTCTAGTCAAATAAAAAACCTTTCAGAAATATTTTCATGATTTAGGTGATAAACCAGCTATAATATCAGAGTTCCTCACCTTTAATCCCAAGGTCTTAACTTTTCTTGCTGAAGCAGGCAAGGTAGTATCTTTGTCAACATTAAGATTTTGTTGAGATTCTACAATAAAATAAATTGTACAGATCCTGGTTGGTGCTTACATGTTTGAAACACAAACAAAATCCATTTCTAAATTTCTTATTGTAATTATTAGTGAAGTAATATAAAGTTCTTTTCTTAATTGTACATGTCCAAATAATTAGTTGCACAACACAATTTTCACATTCAACATTTTTCTGATTTTCCTAATATTCCCTGACAGAAAGTTAAGGTGATTACCAAAAGGAAAACTATATATTTATGTGAGTATCTTGCTTAATTTTTCTGGTTATATAATAGTGAAATGATTAAAGCATTATTCTATAGTTGACTCATTTGTAAATGCATCAAATAAGAAAATCTAAATATAACTGTAGCTCCACCTTTTTACAAATAGTATAGAATCTTCTAATTTAAATACTGTTAGTCATAACTTTAAAACTTAAGAGGTCATATACCCATTATTTTACTTTGGAATTCATTACCTTTTTGTTTTTTAAATCTTTGTGATTTCTGAAAGGACACTGGTCCTTTCAATACTTCTGAAGTCTTAACATCATAAGCACCTGGAGATGGTGCACAACCTAAAGGAAACATATAGAACATTAATGTCTCATCTAATGTTCCTTATGATCTTACATGGTGATGAATGTAAAACAGTTATTGGATGTGAAACAGTTAAAAACCGTGTCATAGTAAAGTAATACAAATTTAAAATGCCATTAATAAATTGTTTATTTTTTCAAATGTAAAAATAGCACCCATCTGATATTACAAATAGGTCTCTCTATGAAAAACATCATTATCTTCCCAAATGCTCTTTATTTCAATGAGTCAAAGAAACACAGGTAATTCAACAAAACTGCAAAGACAGTCTTGAGATAAACATCATTAAGAACAAGCAACATGGCTTTGTTATTAAGGATTAAGTCTAAGAAAAAAATATTTGGAATCAATTCTAACTCCAAGAGCGTCAATGAGGCAACCACCATCAGATTCTAGAAATGAAGCAACTAAAAGTCTAGCCTGCAAGGTTTAGTGTGAAAAAAAATTTATAGTGATAATTCATCTCTGGCTAATATTGACACAACAGGAAATTTATAAAGTCATGTTATACAAAGTACAAACTACTAGATAATATTTCTTTCCCTCTCTCTCTTTTTAAAAGATATTATTTATTTATTTATTTGACAGAGAGAGAGAGAGCGAGCGCACGCGCACACACAAGCAGGGAGAGCAGCAGGAGCGTGGGTGGGTAGGAAGCATGCTCCCGGCTGAGCAGGGAGCCTGACCTGGGACTCGACCCCAGGACCCCGAGATCATGACCCAAGCTGAAGGCAGTCATTTAACTGACGGAGCCACCCAGGCATCCCTGTACTAGACAGAAATTTATACATTATAACCTCACTTAACTGGAGTCTCAAACTGAAGGCATTTTGGAGTGTTTATGCATAGTCAACTTGAGATCTTACTCTCAGGACTTAACAATAATAAAAATCTCATTTTTATTATTGTTAGCAGAAGGGGAGCCTGGGTGGCTCAGTCAGTAGAGTATGTGACTCTTGATCTCAGGGTATAAGTTTAAGCCTCACATTGGGCATAGAGCCTACTTAAACAAAAAAGGTAAAAATATCATTAGCATAAAGCTTTAACTGATTGAGAATAGATTCATACTGCTCACTGAAAAGCCATTTTCTTCAGCATAGAGTTTCATGCAAGTGAACAGGAACTAAAAGGAGTTCGAACATTAAGGTAACTCCAGCTGTCCCTTAAGTGTTTTCTAAATGGAATGATAGGGGTGCCTGGGTGGCTCAGTAGGTTAAAGCCTCTGCCTTCGGCTCGGGTCATGATCTCGGGGTCCTGAGATCGAGCCCACGTGGGGGGGGGGGTGGGGGGTCTCTGCTCAGTAGGGAGCCTTCTTCCTCCTCTCTCTCTGTCTGCCTCTCTGTCTACTTGTAATTTCTGTCAAATAAATAAATAAATAAAATCTTTAAAAAAAATAAAAATAAATGGAATGATAGATAAGAACTTGTTGGTATACCTTGACTAGCATTAAAAAAAGTGAAACACAGGGGCGCCTGGGTGGCTCAGTGGGTTAAGCCTCCCCTTTCTGCTCAGGTTATGGTCTCATGGTCCTGGGATTGAGCCCCGCATCTGGCTCTCTGCTCAGTGGGGAGCCTGCTTCCTCCTCTCTCTCTATGCCTGCCTCTCTGCCTACTTCTGATCTCTCTCTCTCTCTGTCAAATAAATAAATAAAATCTTTAAAAAAAAAGTGAAACACAATAGAAAATATCAGCATGACTCAAATGTAGCAAAGTGAAGCACTGTTTTGTAGGACTTCTTGTTTCAGTGATAGCTGTATAAATATTAAAAAATCTATCTTGGATAGAGATACACAATTTATTTCTCACTCTAGGACACAATTAAAAAGTATTAAAATCACCCCTTTTATCAATTCTAAGAGGCCATAAAAACATCAAGGAAGTTTCTATTCCTCCACCTGGAATTAAGGTAACAAAAATAATGACACATGGGGCGCCTGGGTGGCTCAGTGGGTTAAGCCTCTGCCTTTGGCTCAGGTCATGATCCCGGGGTCCTGGGATCAAGCCCCGCATCGGGCTCTCTGCTGGGTGGGGAGTCTGCTTTCTCCTCTCTCTCTCTGCCTGCCTCTCTGCCTGCTTGTGATCTCTGTCTGTCAAAAAAAAAAAAAAAAAAAAAAAAAAAGACACAAAAATTCCAATCCTGGGAGCTTTTTGATCTAAATGTGGTCAATAAGGAATTGAGATAGTTTCTAATCAGTTTCTAATCAGAAGAGAGTCTCAAAATGAAATACAGAATTCAATGGAGTATCTAAGGTAAAGACAGACTTACCAAAAACCATTAATCTTGGTTAGCTCAAATCTCTCACACTTTACAAACTGTTTACAACCTGGGGTGAATAGGAGGCTGGCAGGGGTTTCCCTAAAATCAGCTTAAGGATGGTGGCACATCTTAGAGCACCTATGTTACTCATTTGCGATAGGGGTTGAGGGAGGCAGTGGGGAACATATTATGTTTTAAAACAAACGAGAGATTTCCACCATTACTATTAGCAATGCTTTTGTGGGGAAGAGGGGATGAGGATATGCAGAGCCTATGGTTATTCTGTGCTTTCTGCTTTTATTATTATTATTGTTGTTGATTTTAAAGTTAAGCTCTAGGCCCAACATGGGCCTTGAACTCACAATCCTGAGATCAAGAGTCACATGTTCTACCTACTGAGACAGCCAGGGGCCCAGCTTTCTGATTTTAGGAATGCTTCTGTGGGAAAGCGTGAGAAGCACCAGTCTAGACTCATCAAAGCAGCAAGAAAATCAAATGATGTTGAAATCTTATATTCTGGGGAACTTGGGTGGCTCAGTGGGTTAAAGCCCCACATCTGGCTCTCTGCTCAGCAGGGAGCCTGCTTCCCTTCCTCTCTCTCTGCCTGCTTGTGATCTCTGTCTGTCAAATAAATAAATAAAATCTTAAAAAAAAAAAGAAAGAAATCTTATATTCTGGTTCATCATTAGGTTTACACTCTCAAAAGGGGATATGGGCCAGCAAACAATGGGATGGTGGACACTGACTAAAGAGCATCAGGAGGGGCGCCTGGGTGGCTCAGTGGGTTAAGCCACTGCCTTCGGCTCAGGTCATGATCTCAGGGTCCTGGGATCGAGTCCCGCATCGGGCTCTCTGCTCAGCGGGGAGCCTGCTTCTCTCTCTCTCTCTGCCTACCTCTCTGTCTACTTGTGATCTCTCTCTGTCAAATAAATAAATAAAGTCTTTAAAAAAAAATAAAAAAATAAAGAGCATCAAGAGAGTTGAAAACAATTAAAACCACACTTAACAAAAACTTCCTTAGAGACTGAAGAATCACATTTGGTTGTTAGATTTAGGATTTAGATTGAAGAACTAGGTTGAAATCCAGCCTGTATGTCTAGCTTTTAATATACTTATCCACCTCACACCTCAGATAATGTACTTATCCATCTTCCATGTTAGACAAAACTGCCTGAAGTTAGGAACTCTCTTGATCATGCCTGTACCCCCAGTATTTAGCTTACAGTTGAGTTGGCGAGTGTGGTAAAGAAAACATAGAAAGTCACTGGGGATGTGGAAATGGAAATAGAGTTTTGTGATTATCCTAGTCAGGATTCAAATCCAGCTTTATATGCCAATTAATAGACATTACTATGGGCCAAGTACTTTTTAGTCAGAGGGAGAAGATGGTGAATAAGAACATTATACTCTCTCCTTTTCGAACCTATTTTCAAGACCCCTGGAAAGTTATTTATTTATTTTTAAAAAAGATTTTTTTACTTATTGACAGAGACAGAGAGAGAGGGAATAAAAGCAGGGGGAGAAGCAGAGGGAGAGAGAGAAGCAGGATTCCTGCTGAGCAGGGAGCCCAATGTGGGGCTCGATCCCAGGACCTGAGATCTTGACCTGAGCCGAAGACAGACGCTTAACCGACTGAGCCACCCAGGCGCCCCCGGAAAGTTATTTTTATTTGAGGTTACGATTCTCCACTTATGGAACAGGAATAAAAAAGAGTATCCACCTTATAGTTGATGGGATTACTGGAGTAATTGGAGAACTCACTACAGTGCCTCACATATGCATAAAGCATCAAATAAATGATAATTACTCCTGAAACAGTGAACCTGGAATATTGTGGCATTGGTAAAGCCAGTTTCATCTATTATAAAGAAAATAAATTCTCCTTAAAAGACACACTGCTGAGAGAACTTAGAGAAGGTTCTTTGAATATCCAGGAAACAATATATGCTTTGATCTTTCAATTAAGAAAATAAGCTTGTGCTGATTCATTTGCTCTCTTGGCCTTCCTATGTGAGCAGAGTGATTCTTATGTACATTTGCATTTTGGCTAACAAGCTAAAGATGCAACAAGTGACTGCTAAAAAGGGTGTATCATAATGGCTAAATCATGGGCTTTGATGTTCAACCAAACCACTTACTGGCTGCTCAGAACAGTGACAAAACCTCTCTGTTTCCTCACATGCAAAATGAGGACAGTATCAATACCTTCCTCACTGGGCTGTTGGACTAGATAGAATAGGGAACCAGTCAGAATAGGGAACACCATAGCATACAGTTTGCATGCATTCAATGATGAGTGCCTCAGTAACCCTATCAGTCTTCCAGGTTAGTTGCTTACTATGAACCACAGTGGTTAAAAAAAAGCACACGATGGATTCATGGAGGCTTGATTTCCTGTCTCAGTTCTGCTGGTTTGGTTCTGTAACACTGAGCAAATCTTTGTCTCGGCTTTTTTATCAGTAAATAATGAATAATAGGATAACCTCTCAGGGATGTTGGGGAGTTAAAAAAAGAACTAATAATCAATGTAAATACTTAGTATGGTGACTGGGGTACTATCTTCTTATTACTTCATTACTAATGTTTTCAGTAAGTGCTGCCACCATATTCTCACCCATAAACTGTTTTTACCAATCATCCTTCTTTTATTCCTGAATGGAATATCCAAAAGAAATCCACAAGTTCATGCGAAAAGCCGCTGGTCAAATGTTTTATCAGTGAGGTTTCCGCACATGACCATCACACAGCTGCCAACAGTTTCCTTATTCCGATTCCCTTTCCTCCGCTTTAATTTCTCCACTGCACTGTTTATTGGCTGTATTCTCCAGTTGAATGTAAACTCCACGAGGCAGGGGTTTTGCCTCATTCACTGCTGTATCTTTATCACTCTGAATAGTATTAGGCACGTAGTAAATGCTTAGTATGGTTTTTAGAAAAACTAATCAATTGAATGAGACCCATCGCAGCCCTAAAATTGCCTGTTAGCCTCGGATAAAGGGAACCAAAAAGGGCAAGTGCGTCGTGACAACATATCCCGACCCCCAGCTCCTTTCCCCGTACGCACCGGAAGGGTCATTGAATCGTTTCAAGGGCGCCTTGGGAAAAGACATGCTGACGATCAGCTCCACAAACAGAAGGTCACTATCTCCCCTCCGCAATTTTGTGCCGCTTATTACAGCCTACTTGCTCCGAATTCAAACCTCCCGGCTTATTCCCCGCCCATCTCTAACGTCAGCAAATTTGAAAACCAAAATCCTGGGCACACCAATCCAGGACCGGACACCTAAGAGCATGCGCACCTGTCCTCGCCGCGCCCAATTAAGGCTTCTGTGAGTTTAGGTAACCAGCCAATAGGAGACTAGTATTGCCTCCTCCCCCACCCTGTGTCCAATCAGTCCTGGCGATACTCAATTGTAATTTACGTACTAGCAACATTTGCGCAAGCGCATTTTATAGCTGAGAAGTTTGAGGGTACGCTTTTGGCGTCATATTGGTGGCAGTGCAGGGAGTTCTAGTTTCACAGGTTCCGACCTTCTCCCACCGTTCTTTGGGTGTAAACGTCCCCGGATTTTAATTCTTTCAAACGGCCAGCGTCCTAAATGGCCACTGAAAAGGAAAAAGGAACATGCCGAGACATCAGCCTGCATCCCTGCGCATGTGCAGTGACCTGAGCTGCGAATCCTGGGCGTGGCCTGAGCGTGGATAATTCGCGCTTGCGCTCATCTCGCTTCGTGCGGCTGCTGCCGGGAGGCTACTGGAGTATGTCGGCCCCGTTTGAGGAGCGCAGTGGGGTGGTTCCGTGCGGGACGCCGTGGGGCCAGTGGTACCAGACCTTGGAGGAGGTGTTCATTGAAGTTCAGGTGCCGCCTGGCACTCGCGCCCAGGATATCCAGTGCGGCCTGCAGAGCCGGCATGTGGCGCTGGCCGTGGGTGGTCGCGAGATCCTCAAGGTAGTGGCAGGTCGGGGCTTGTGCTCAGTTTCTTCCCGGCCTCTAAGTCCCAGGGTCCTAAAGTGCATTTTTTTTTCCGTGAAAATACTGTTGGAAGGCCGAATAGCTCCTTTGGCCGAAAGAGCGGTATCATTGGCCTGGTTTTGGTCTGGTCGGAGCCCCCACTCTTAAGGCTAGTCCTGAGTTAACGTAGAGATTTGAGGAGCCCGGTTTTCCGGCTTTATTTCTAAAGCAAATGAAGCTGCTGCTTTTGTGCCTCTGCGGGTCGTCACTTTAGATCTATAAAGGAACGACTATTTATAGTACGTATATTCCAGGCACTGATGAGTGTTGAGAGGTCAGCGGTGAACAAGACAAGTTTCCTGCACTCAGGTCATGTTCTTGCAAGGAGGCATAATAAAGCTCACCTAATAAATGTTCAGGGAGTTATAGGACAGTAAAGAAGAAAATAATAAGGATATCGGGATGAGGATTCAGAGATGTTGTCAGGTGATTTATTTTTTTCATCAAACTAAGAAAAATTTTGCATGTTCGTGGAGTGGTTAAGGAGGTAGTTAAGAGGTGTTCGAAGAAAATAATACCACTTTTATTCTCATGTCCGTTGGACCTGTTAAATTCAATAACGTTGAAGTTAGATTTCTTTCCCACATTAGATACTCAAGATGTTTGATGACAGTGTAGTGAAGTGGTGAAGGGAGATTCCTCAATGTAGGATACCTGGCTGTGCCATTTTTATAATTTTGTAACCTCAGGCAAGAGATTTTTCAGTATCCCTATGCCTTCACTCACAAAGTATGGTAATTATAGTAACTTTCTGATAGGATTGTTTTGAGCATGACATGGTATCCAGGGGAATTAAGAGCTTGGACTTGTTTCTGGCATGTAAGGAGTGTACACTACATATTATTTATATGGAAATGATTTAAGTGCCTCAGAGGAAAGGAAGATTCATGTGAAAGACATTTGATTTGTGTCCGCTTGGATCTTACTGACTTTTCTGGATAGTTGTGTAAATCATAGTTTCCTGAACAGTGGTTTAAGATTACAATTCAAATTTCTTTTAGTAATTCCAGTAACTTTGGGAATTTAGCAGTAATTTTAGGATTTTAGGTATACATTTAAACAAGTAGGATTTTTTCACACTAGTACTGACATATTGAAAAAATGTGTGTTTTTTTATATGACCTTTTAATTTAATTTCCTAAAACTTAAATTTGACAAGTAGCAGCAAGTCAAAATGGATTCTAGCAGGTGTATTCTCTTTTAAACTTAACGTTTTACTGATTTCTTTCTTAAAACAACAGTTTCTGAAAAATCAGTCACAGCTAATCTGTATCAGAACTACAGTATGCACTTTAAAATTTTTTTGGTGCTACATTGCCCAACAAAGAGATTGAACCAGTTTTTTAATGTTTAAGAGATACCATTTATTAATTTCAGCCGGAAAGCTCTTCTAGTAGTTTTTTTCAATAGGTAAAGTTAAATCATTTCAGATATTAATTCACATTTGGCCCTCTGATCAGTAATATTTATTCATCTCCTAAAAATTAAGGAGCCCTGATCTTTCTTTAGAGGGCTCTGTGTTTTTTGTCATAGTAAGGTAAACTTGGTTCCATTCCACTTCCTAGGAGGAAAGATAGGGTTGTGCACCCAGCAGTATGTTGGAATGGTATGAAGTTTTATCTCCTTACTATAACCAAACTAGATAGTTACATGTGGATTAGATAGAAAATTAGGAAAGTCAAATCATGAAAGCCTTATAAAAATTAATGAAATATCTATGTTTTTAGTACCTTATTTATTTATTTTTCAGGGCAAGCTCTTTGATTCAACAATAGCTGATGAGGGAACATGGACTTTGGGTAAGGGTAATCTATAATTCTTGGAATCTTTTTTTAAAAATTAATTTTGTCTTGGAACTTAGTAAGTTTCCCTCTGTTGTATTAGGTCCTTTGTCTTTGCAGCTTTGGAAGAGAATAGTGATGGAAATGTATTGAAAATAATTGTATGTCAAAGATTACCTAATGATGTTTGAAAATACAAAATCCGATGATGAACTCTAATTTATTTGTGATTTTTATTTGTTTAGAGGACAGGAAAATGGTCCGTATTGTTCTTACAAAGACAAAGAGAGATGCAGCAAATTGTTGGACTTCTCTTCTGGAATCTGAATATGCAGCTGATCCTTGGGTGCAAGACCAAATGCAGAGAAAACTTACATTAGAGAGATTCCAGAAGGAAGTAAGTCAGATGAATGTATGAATATGTATTGTTAAACATCTTAAAATCATAGAATAATTATTATTGAAATTAAAACTCAAATGTAGTTACAAAAAAATTACAAAAGTTCTTTAGAGGAATTTAAGTGAAATCGTTAGAAAAATGACTGGTCTTTCTTTGTGTGGATTTTATTTTTTCAAATTTTCTGTAGAGGAATTTCTTTGTACTGTCTTGATTTCTAAGTTTAAATTTATTTAATGTACACCAGTAGGGTAAGTGAACTCAAAAAACTTAGTCATTATAGGGGCGCCTTTGGTGGCTCAGTGGGTTAAGCCTTGCCTTCAGCTCAGGTCATGATCTCGGGGTCTTGGGCTCAAGCCCCGCATCAGGCTCTCTGCTCAGTGGGGAGCCTGCTTCCCCTTCTCTCACTCTCTGCCTGCCTCTCTGCCTACTTGTGATCTCTGTCAAATAAATAAAAAAGTCTTAAAAAAAAATTCAGTCAATATAGACTTACATAATGTAATAAAGTAAAAGTTCCTTTCATCAACATCTCTCCATTATGTGCTTCTGTCTTTTTTTTTTTTTTTTTAAAGATTTTATGTATTTATTTGACAGACAGAGATCACAAGTAGGCAGAGAGGCAGGCAGAGAGAGAGGAAGGGAAGCAGGCTCCTGCCGAGCAGAGAGCCAGTTGCGGGGCTCTATCCCAGGACCCTGGGATCATGACCTGAGCCAAAGGCAGCTGAGTTGAAGGCAGAGGCTTTAACCCATTGAGCCACCCAGGCGCCCCCTTTGTGCTTCTGTCTTATTCTTACCTCATTGATGTATTGGTTTGCTACTCTGTCTTTAACATAAATTCAGGATTACACTATGTGTATTGTTCATGTTGTTTTTTTTTTTCCATTTAATAATACATCTTGGGTCTCTTTTCCTACCAGTACATATAGATAAAACTTGTTCCTTTTAACTGTTTTAGAGTGTTTTCTAGCTTGAATGTACCAACATTATTTATTTAGCCATTCCTTTTTGATAAGATTTGGATTTTTCAGTTTGTATCTGTTTGAAACAAAATTTGTGCTTTGATCTCTGTAGAACTATCCCATGTTCTGTTAATTTATGTAGGAGAAGAATTACTGGACCAAAGCACTGTTAAAGTTTTGATGGATAATTTCTTTCTGTCTGATGGTTATTTCCAAATATGTATCTCTAGTCTAGACTTTTTTCCCAAATATTGGAGTCACATTTCCAATTCAACATCTCTACTTTACAGTCTGACAGACATATCAGACTCAACGTATTCAACATGAACTCTCTAACTTCCTGCTACCCATTTCTACCTCTAGTCTTCTCATCTTGGTTGATGGAAACTACTTGATCAGACCAAAAAACAAAAATGGGGAGTCATCCTCCACTCCTATCTCTCTCTCACACAATGTGGCCAATTTGTTAGGAAACCTTACTGGTAGTACCTTCCAAGTATATTCAGAATTTGTCTATTTCTCACCACCAACTCTACTACCATTTTGATCTAGACCATCTGTAATGACTTGCCTAGATTACTTTTACAACCTTCTATTTGTTCTCTTTTACCCTTGCCAAGCTACGGTGTTCTCAAAATAGTATAATAGTCCTTTTAGCATTCAGGTCAGAACACATTGCTTCTCTTCTCAGAACTCTTTCATTCTGTCCAATCTGGTCCTCATGATCTCTCTGACTTCTTCTCCTACTAGTCTCCCCTTACGTTATTCTGATCTAGCCATACTCGTCTTTTTGTTATATTTGAACATTTTAGGCCATTCCTTTACTGTCCTTTTGTCTACAGTGTTATCCCAGAACTTGGCTAACTTCTTCACTGTTTTGAAGTCACTGCTCAATAAAGTGTACTTTTGGGGCGCCTGGGTTTCTCAGTGGGTTAAAGCCTCTGCCTTTGGCTCAGGTCATGTTCCCAGGAGCCTGGGATGGAGCCCCAAATCTGGCTCTCTGCTCAGCAGGGAGTCTGCTTCCCCATCTCTCTGCCTGCCTCTCCGCCTACTTGTGATCTCTCTCTCTTAAATAAATAAATAAAATCTTTAAAAAAAAAAAAGTGTACTTTATCTTTGGTCGTCCTATTTAAATACTTAATCTTCTCATTTTTCTTACTCTGCTTTTCTTTCTTTTCTTTTTTCATCTTCTGTAGCACTTGCACCAACTTTTAACACTCTGGATCAGGGGCTCGCAAACTGTGGCCTACAGGTGAAATCTAGCCTGCTGGTTGTTTCTAAAGTAAAGGTGTACTGGAATACACCTGTGCTCATTCATTTGCATATTGTCTATCTTATAGTAATACCAGACTATGGCAGAGTATATGGCTTTCAAAGCCTAAGATATCTAATTACTTGGCTCTTTATAGAAAACTTTGCCAACCTCTGCATTAGATAACTTCTGGTTTATTATTTGTGTCCTCCTGTAAGAATGTCAGCCCACCAGTGCAGGGATCTTTGTTATGTTCACTCTTGAATTCCACATGCCTCTAATGGTGTCTTTTAAACAGTAGGAACTCTTAATAAATGTTTGTTGAATAAATGAAATGCCCTCCAAAAAGACTAAAGTATGAGATAGTACTTCCTAGGATTGTTATGAGGTTTGAATATGTTGATAAATGCATAGCTCTTAGAACCCTGCTTGGCATGTAATAAACTCACAAATGAAGCTAGTTATTAAAATCTGTTTTTATACTCGTACTAAAGTATATGTTTGTCTATACACTTGTCAACTTACAATATACATACTGATCTTTTAAGTATTTGTAGATCTGAAAGTTAAAATATACATCCTAGTTTTAAGTTCTATTTTGGTGATTACATCTTTTGACATATTTATTGGCCATGTAGATTTCCTCTTTTGTCAATTGCTAGTTTATATCTGTACCATTTCCCTTTTGAGTTACTTATATTTTTCCTTAAAAGATTTATTTTATCATAGTTTTTTTCATGTCTTTTAGAATCCTGGTTTTGACTTCAGTGGAGCAGAAATCTCAGGAAACTACACTAAAGGTGGACCAGATTTCTCAAATCTTGAAAAATAACTACTACTTTTCTTTCACTGCATTCTGTGGATCCCAACAAAGTTGCCAACATAAAGGAACAGATTATGTGGGGGAAGGAAATGTGGATACCTGCAGTTAACAAATTGCAAAATATATTTAACTATGGTTCTAAAAATTGCATTCAAATATCATTTACATAGGAAACAAATACTGTGGAAACTATTCTACTGATATAGAGTAACTTTTTTTGGACTTGTTTTTTTTCTCAGCATGAAGTTTTATATGCTGCATTTTACTAATTTCATATTTAACCTGTATTTTTAATACAAAAAACATTAGGGTATAGATCATGTGAAATGACCGGTGCCTTCAGGGACAATTAAATTTTTCTTTCGATAAGTGTAATGCAGGAATAATGTTCAATAAACTTTTCTAAATAGGAATCATGCACCTCTTTGTGTAAGTATGCCAGTTCACACCAGGAATTACATTACTGAGAAAAATTTTAAGGAGGGAAAAAGCCCACAAATATATTCTGAGTAAGTTCATTTTAAGAGTTAATGAAAATTTCTGAAGTAGTACATTATTCCTTGGGAGATGAATTTGTCAGGAAAGTGAAAAATAGAAACTTAACAATAGGAATGGATTAATATAAAACAAACAGTGAAGTGAATGTGATCATTGGGTGAGTCCTTTGTATGAGACAAAAAGCAAATAATGGTTAATGTTTATAAATCAGGAACATAATTTTGCTCTTCAGTGATCCAGACATATAAGGAAGGATTGTTTTAAAATTTTATTTCATTATTTTTATGTCCTTTTGAATTTTAAAATCTCTCTCTTTTTTAAAGATTTTATTTTTAAGTAATCTTTACAACCAATATGAGACTTGAACCTGCAACCCTGAAATCAAGAGTTCCACACTTTATGAACTGAGCCAGCCAGGTGCCCCTGAAAAATATTTTTAATAATCCCAAATGTATAGCCAAGTTATATGTAAAGTAAAAAGGACTGTTTTCTTCCTGACTTGTTTGTAAGTTTATGATATGACACTGCATCATCTCTGAGTACCTTAGTGTATATTTCCTTCAGAGGACATGCTGTTACATCACTACAACACAACCATTAAAATCAGGAAATTAGCATTGGTACATTATGACCATCTAATCCTCAGATCTTTATTGCATTCAAATTTAACTGATTGTTTCAGTAATGTTCTGTGTGGCAAAATGGTCCAGTCAGAATCATGTGTTGTCTTTAGATTAGATGTCAGTTGTCTGGTCTGCTTCAGTCTGCAACAAGTCTTCATTTTTCTCTTGACTTTTACAACCTTGGCACTTTTGAATATTATAGGCTAGTTTTGTACAAAATCCTCATTTTGAGTTTTGTCTGGTACTTCTTCATGATTAGATTCAGGTTATGCATCTTTGGCATATTTTGTGGGAAGGTAGCTTCAGAGTACTACCCTCTTTCTCATCAAACTTCCAGCTTATTTGTATCTTTATTGATGCATAATTTTCTACTTTATTCAGTAGATTAGAATCTATTACTTGCATTATTGTGATGCTAAACAATTTTTCTTGACTTAGCTAGGGGAAAACTATTTTAGATGGCTTTTATGTCCTTTTGACATGTCCTGTCATTATTTGAGTAATTTCTTATTTTCTGGCACAAGTTATACCAGGCTTACGCTTTCCCTGCCCTAACTGAAGAGTAAGCCATGTTTTTAAGGTGCCATGCGTCTCTTAAATGGAGAATGGTATTCAGAAGCCAAGATTTGGGGGTACCTGGGTGGCTCAGTTGGTTAAGCACCTGCCTTTGGCTCAGGTCATGATCCCAGGGTCCTGGGACCGAGCCCTGCATAGTGCTCCCTCCTCAGTGGAGAGCCTGCTTCTCCTTCTCCCTCTGTCGCTCTGCCTACTTTTGTGCTTGCTTGCTCTCTCTCTCTGTCAAGTAAATAAATAAAATCTTAAGTCAATTATTGTGCTAGTGAAAATTGGTATTTGTGTATAATGGTTATATGTATAGCTATATTTATTTCTATATATTGAGAACCATGAGTTCACACTTCAACTTTCATGTCTAATCCCATGGAGTTCATTTTTCTTTTCTCCCTTTCTATATTTATAACAACAGTGAGAAGTCTGATTCCGATTATCCTCAATATATTTGTTCTCTCTTCTCGGTCATCTCAACATGAATGCCTTCCTTATTCTACTCAGGCTCCAACATCCTGCGGCAAACAGGGATAGCTCACTGTCTTGGACCCAGACACACCCCATTGTGGGCCACTGAATCCGTCATACTCTTTGACAAAATGGCCATCTTGTTCACTTTAGCCAATAACTTTAGGAATAAGTTTTTGGGAAAGAGGCTTTTTTTTTTTTTTAAATTGGCCTCTCTTCTTGACTTTCAAAGAAATTCATATTTTGAATAAGCAGAGTAAAATTAACTCTCCTATTCATAGTATGTTTTTTGAGTTTTTAGCATGTAGTTTCTGTTTATAGTTTTGTGAATTTTTAACATGTTAGAGGCATCTGTAAGCACCTTCAAAGTCAGGTGATTGAACAGTTAAGTTTTGTTTTTTGTTTTTTTTTAAGTGAACTCCACACCCCCACATTGGGCTCAAACTTGTGACCTTGAGATCAAGCGTTTCATGCTCTACCAGCTGAGCCAGCCAGGTGCCCCAAGAGTTTTAATAGTTTAATCACTACAAAAACTTAATGCTCTCTCTTTGTAGTCATACCACACTCCTAGTCTCAAATGCTAGAAACCACTGGTTAAGACCTGTCTTTATAGTTTTGTCTTTTCAAAAGTGTTTATCAGTGGAATCATATGTAATCTTTTTTTCTTAAAGGTTTATTTATCCATTCTAGAGAGAGAGAGTGAGCGAGCTTGGGGAGACGGGGTGGAGGGGCAGAGGGAGAGAATTCCCCAAGCAGACTCCCAACTAAACACACATTCTGATGTGGGACTCAATCCCTTGACCCATGAGCCCATGACCTGAGGGGAAACCAAAAGTCATGCCCAACTGACTGAGCCACTCAGGCACCCTATTTTTCTTTTTAAACAGCGTTATTGAGATATAATTCACATACCATACATTTTACCCATTTAAAATATATTAATTCAGTGGTTTTTAGTATAGTCATCTATTCAACCATCATTATAGTCAATTTTCATTCTCATCACCTCAAGAAGCCCCATACCTTTTAGCTATCAACTCCCTCTACCCCCAACCAAGTGACAACTAATTTGTTTTCTATCTCATAAATTTCCTTCTTAGTGATATTTCATATGCGTTGAATCATAATATGTGGTCTTTTGCTACTGGCTTCCTTCATTTAGCACAATGTTTCATCCATGTTCTAGTATGTCAGTATTTCGTTCCTTCAGTATGGCTGGGTAATATTCCATTTATCCATTATCCATTTGTCAGTTGATTGACATTTGGGAGGATTCTACCTTTTGGCTATTATGAATAATGCTGCTATAAACATTCAGGTTGGGGCACCTGAGTGGCTCAGTTGCATAAGTGTATGCCTTCGGCTCAGGTCATGATCCTGGAGTCCCTGGATCAAGTCCCAAGTCGGGCTCCCCGCTCAGCAGGCAGCCTGCTTCTCCCTCTCCCTGCCCACCCACACTCATGCGCCTGTGTGTATGCTATGTCGAATAAATAAAATCTTTAAAAAAAATAAACATTCAAGTATAGGTTTTTATGTCTATGCATATTTTTCTTATTTAGTAATAGAATTTGGAGTTACATGGAAACTATGTCTGATCATTTGAGGAATTTCTAGATTGTTTTCCAAAATGGCTACACAATTTTACATTCCCACCAGTAGTGTTTGAAATTTCTAGTATCTCCACAAATTTGCTGATACTTTCTACATGATTTTTTAAATTTTAGCCATTCTAGTGGATATGAGGTGGTATCACACTGTGGTTTTGTTTTCTGTTTCCCTGATGACTATGTTGAGCATCTTTTCTTGTGCTTATGGACCATTTATGTATCTTCCTTGGAGAAATGTTCATTAGTATTTCCCATCTTTTATTGGGTTATCTATTAGTGAGTTTTAAGAGTTATTTATATATTCTGTATACAAGTCTCATATATATTATTTGCATTTATAGTCTTCTATTGTATAGGTTTTTTTCATTTTCTTGATGGTGTCTTTTAAAGCATGATTGTTTTTAAATTTTGATGTATTCTAGGTCATTCTAGTTCATTATGGTTTTGGTATTCTAGTTCATTCTAGTTCATCATGCTTTTGGTATCATGTCTAAGAACGTGGTGATCCCAGGTTATGAGGATTTTTTCCAGTGTTTTTTTTCCAAAAGTTTTATTATTGTGTGTTTTACATGTAGATATATGACCCATTTTAAGTTATTTTTTGTGTAAGCTGTATAATATAGGTGGAACTTCATTTTTTGCATGTGGATGTCTATTTCAAAATTTGTTGAAAATACTGTCCATTCTTCAATAAATTGCTTTTGCACTTTTGTCATAAATCAATTGCTGTTTATATGGATCTGTTTTTGGTTTTTCTGTTCTATTGATCCATGTGTCTGTCCCTTCACAAATACCAAATTGCCTTGATAATTATAGCTTTATGCTAAGTCTTAAAATTGGGCAGCATGAGTCCTTCAACTTAATTCTTTTTTAAAGTTGTTTTGGCTGTTTTAACTTTCTTTGCCTCTCTGTATAAAGTTTAGAATCAGCTATATTCAGTCTATCTCCAAAAGGTCCTGCTAGGGTTTTCACTGGTATAGCGTAAGTCTTATAATCCGTTAGGATGGGGCATCTCTCTATTTAGGATCTCTTTGATTTCAATCATGAGCATTTTGTGATTTTCAGCTTATAGAATACTTACATCTTTTCTTAGATTTATTCCCAAGGGTACCTTTTCTGGAGCTGTTGTAAATGATATATATTTTTTGAAATTTGTTTCTAGTTGTACATAGCTAGTGCATAGAAATGTTTGATTTTTGTTTGTTGAGCTTCCTGTGACCTTCCTAAACTCGCTTGTTCTAGGAGTTTTTTTTGTTACGGATTTCTGGAATTTTCTTCATAAACCACAAACAGGAGGTTTTATTTAATCTGTACTACTCCATATGTCTTTATCTTTTCTTGCTTCATTGCACTTGCTAAAGAACAGAAGTGGTGGGAGTGACCATCCCTGTCTTGTTTGGTTTTCAAATTTTGATTTGATTGATTCTCCGATTTTGAACCTGCTTATATTTTAACACATCCCAAACTTGGTCATGGAGTTTTCCTGCCATTTATGTATCTGGATTTGTTTGTTGAAGATTTTCGTGTCTATTCACTGAGATACTGGTCTCATTGATTAATTTGAGATATTGGTCTCATCAATTGTTACCTTTGTCTTGGTTTGGTACCAGGGTAATGCTAGCCTCATTAAAATGAATTGGGAAGTGACTC